AGAAGTATGTAACAAGAATAAATGATATTATTAGACTGTTATTGTTTGTAGGATTTTGTGTATCCTTCCAATGTTGCTTATCCCATTGGAGGTGACCAGTATCAATACGCATACATTGAGATGCACTATGATAATCCAAACAGACTATCAGGTTAACTAATTACAATAAGATTAGTGTCCACTCATTGTTATTGTAGGGGTGATTGATAGTTCTGGTGTGACATTCTATTACATTGATACACCAAGGGAGCATGATTCTGGTATACTTATAGTTGGACAAGCAGTCCACCACACCATGATAATACCTCCTAAAGCAAGGGATTACACTATTTATAGCTTCTGTCCAACTGATTGCACTGCAGTATGATTGGAATATATTATGTACTGTACAATAATCTTGTGTTTAGTTATTTCCTCAAGATGGGATCCGCGTGTTTGCTAATTTGCTTCACACTCATTTGCTTGGTGTAAGCCTTACTGTACATCATCTGAGAGCTACTGATCAGTGTAGATCAGGCAGTGGCATTGAAGAGCTTAAACCTATTGATAGCAACCCATTATATGATTTCAACTTCCAAGAGGGAGTGCATATTAATGAAGTTGTCATTAGACCAGTGAGAGACTATGAAATTGAATTGTTGCATATTTTAATGTAATTTTATTGTGACAGGGTGATACAATTATGCTGACCTGCACATACAATAGTGAAAATCGAAACACAGTAACATTGGTGAGCTGTCCTCACATTAGGTTTTGAATGTTGCTTATAATAGGGAGGGGAGAGCACTCATGAGGAAATGTGTCTATCATTTCTAAACTATTATCCAAGGATAGGAATGACTGACTGTTATAGTTTGCCATCATCACAAAGTTTTACACAATTCTTATCAAGACACTACAAGTATAAAAGTATTTCTTTAGGCTCTAGCTATCTTTTTATTTTCTCAGTCAAAGTAAAATTGATTCATTTAATGGTAACCCATCAAGGTCTAATATCAATAAGATATTTAATAATATCACTTGGACACACGAGGAAACTGAAGTCTTAGAGAACTCACTCTCAACTGGCTCTCAATATTCTTTTTGCTATGGACCTGTAAGCTATTATACTTCTTGTCAATAATGCATTGTAACTGTTGTATCATCTTTAGTCAGTAGCATATACAGATACAAGACAAGATGTGCCATCCATTGGTTGTCCTTATGAAGCACCTCCTGTAATGCTGGAGTGTCCTGACTCTGTTGGTCCTACCACTAATCCTACCACTGATCCTACCACTGATCCTACCAGTGGTGCTGTGTCATTGATTACTCTCTCAGTCACAGTGCTGCTCTTTGCTATGATTGCAATGATCCTCATTTAATTAACTCTTTCTCCTACTCCATTTTTTGCTGCTTTATGTCTTAGATCATCCAACAGGGCTTCGACTTTTTTCACCCTTTTCATTAATAATGAATTTTGTGCCCCCTTTTCATTTATTGATGCTTTTCATTCATTTGTGCCTCCTTCATCTGCTGCATTATAATAATAAATTAATAATAATAATAATTTTACTTGCGATAAATCACAGTGTTAGTGAACACAAAACAAAAGAACATACAATAACAACAAACACTAAAAACAAATAAGATAATAAGTTATTTGTTATGCTGGTAAAGCATTTAAAATTAGTTCTCTTGATGCATGTGGAAGTGATGTAGGAAATATTATATTAAAGTCTACAATGAGATCTCCATATCTTCCTGGTGACTTTGATAGTGGCATGCCATATCCAGCTAGTCTTACTTCAGTTCTTGGATCAATTATTTCACGGACATCACGTGAAACCATGTCTCCACTGATAGTTGGTACATGTATCGAAGTACTACAGAGAGCATCACGAAGAGATATGTTAGCTGTGTAGCGTAGGTTGTTGCCATCCCGACGGAATAAATCGTGAGGTTTGAGTTTGACAATAAAGATGATGTCAGCTGGTATTCTACCGTGAGACTGGTCACCTTCTTCTGCAAATGTTATCTTGGTCCCTTCTTTCCAGCCTGGTTTAACAGTTATCGTAATGATCTTATCTTGTGATGATCTGGTTCCGTCAGGATTAATCACTTGCTTTGTGATTTTAAGGTTCTTGACACAGCCTCTGTATAGTTCCTCGAGAGTTAGGTTTAGAAGACGTTCGATGGGAGGATCTTTACGCTTGGAATTCTGGAAACCTTTTCCTCCTCCCATTCCGCCAAACAGTCCAAAAGGATTTCCACCTCCAAAAGACTCAAACTCCATGTCCTCCATGCCTCCATCAACCTGTGGTCCGTTTGGTGTCATGAATATACGACCACCACTTCCACCTTTTGGATTCCCTGATGAGAAAAAGAATGTGTTTCCTCCTGCACTGCCCCCGAATGGATCCTGCCCACCGAAGAAACTCCTAAAGATCTCGTGAGGGTCGACGTTACCCGAGAACCCGCTAAACCCACCACCAGCTGGGCCACGGCCTTTGAGCCCTTCCTCTCCAAACTGGTCATAGATCTTCTTCTTCTCTGGGTCGCTCAGTATCTCGTAAGCCTCTGCAATGTCTTTGAACTTGCTCTCAGCATCTGGTGACTGGTTCTTGTCTGGGTGGTACTTGAGGGCCATTTTACGATAAGCTTTCTTTATATCGTCTTCACTGGCTCCGCGCTGTACCCCTAGTACATTGTAGTAGTCTTTGCCCATGATGATTGACACAATCTACTGCTTCTGCTTGAGGATAGTCCTTGAATGACGTTTATTATGTTTTAGTGTTCTGACTGATGACCGACTGGTGAGCTCAGTTTTATCCTATCGTCAACTTTTCTCTGGAAAGTTCTATTCATTTGTGCTCCTGCCGGTTCCTGTCTCGTATTTTCTAGCATGTCTACAAACTTCTAGAATTTTCTGCACAGAAGGAGCGAGAGGGTGTGGCTGAGTCTGGGCCACACCCAATTGTCACACCCACTGTCACACCTTCCTGACCTGACCTCTTAATTATTCTCAACAAAGATGTTGCGATTCGCTTTAAAGCCAAAGGTAAGAGAAAGTAATAATTTGCTAGTATCTTTCTCTTCCTCAGGTGTTTGCTTCAGCAGCTGCTGCTCGCTGCATGAGCTCTGGAAATGTAAGTTTGCTTAATGATATTTGGGAGTGGCTTATATAATCCATTATAACCCATCTACTATTAATTACCTAGACTCCTACAACTAAACTATTCATCAATGGGAAATTTGTAGAATCAAAAACCAACAAATGGGTCGACAACTTTAATCCGGTACAGAAAACTCCTTTAATAATAGATATTGTATTATGAGGATGTCCCTTTATAATTAGGCAACTAACGAGCTTGTTACCCGAGTACCTTGTGCCACTCAAGAGGAGATGAAAGCTGCTGTAGATGCTGCCCAAGTGAGCTCAAAACCAGTTATGATAACTGGTTTTACTTGTCACTCGTAGGCTGTTTTCAAGGACTGGAAGGAGACCAGCGTTATGACTCGTCAGCAAGTTATGTTTCGACTCCAACACATCATACGAGAGAACATTGTAAGACACTTGAGTCTCATTTTTATTGTGTGGTACATGTAGCAAGAAATCTTAAAATAGTAAATTAAAGGGACTGAAAATGCTAAAATTAATGTATATACATGTATATATACACACAATTAAAAGTGATTCATAACATGAATTTTCATACTTTTTTCTGCACACATTCACGTGCACTCTAGTCTGATTTGGCTAAAGTAATAACGCTAGAGCAAGGGAAGACATTAGCTGATGCTGAAGGAGACGTATTGAGAGGACTACGTGAGCACTTATCTAGCTATATCCTCCATTTTATCACCATTTGTCTCTCTCCCTCCAGAGGTGGTTGAACACTCCTGTAGTATCACTAGTCTACAGTTAGGAGAGACATTGGGATCCGTTACTAAGGACATGGATACTTATACTTACCGTGAACCACTGGGGGTGTGTGCTGGAGTGACGCCATTTAATTTCCCTGCCATGATACCGCTATGGGTTAGTTCTATAGAACTTTTAAAATTTTTATTTATTTATTATTATTATTATTTATTATTTTAGATGTTTCCCCTAGCACTTGTATGTGGCAATACGTTTGTTATGAAACCCAGTGAGCTTGATCCAGGCGCTACGATGATGCTGATGGAGATGGCAAAGGAAGCAGGTGTACCTGATGGAGCCGTCAACGTCATTCATGGACAGAAAGAATGTGAGACTCTATATTACTGCATGCAGCATAACGTACATATATACATGTATAAAAAGAAAATATTTGCAGGTTGATCAATATTTGGTGGATTAGAGAAATAATTATTATCAATATAAAAATATACCCATTAATTTTTTTAGCAAAGACAAATTGGAAAAGGATTTCATATTGACTATGTTACTGTTATGCCTCATTTGCAGCTGTTGTTATGGAGCCTCTTGTACAATACACACATACCTTGTGTTCATGCATCCCTTGTACCTTTCATCTATCAATGGCACCTTTAGAAAGAGTTACAAACTGTTGTACCACATTGTCCTGATCTTTTTTTACTTAACTTTAAACTTATTGCTATGATTATTTTTCATGCAGCTGTCGATTTTATATGTGACGAGCCAAGAATCAGAGCTATCTCATTTGTCGGTAGCGATAGAGTTGGAAAGTATATTTACGAGAGAGGGACAGCTAATGGGAAAAGGGTACAATCGAACATGGTAAGGAGGGAGAAATGGAGACTGAGAGAGTAAAGAAGGAGTCATTACATTTTGTACTTTTGTCTAGGGCGCTAAGAATCATGGTATAGTCATGCCTGATGCCAATAAAGAGCACGCCATTAATCAGGTAAGCCTTTTTGAACTTTATCTATCAGGTCATGTGATTGTCATGTGGCTAGTTGGTTGGAGCTGCTTTTGGTGCAGCTGGACAGCGTTGCATGGCACTGTCAACAGCTGTATTTGTTGGAGAAGCAAAGGAATGGATACCAGAGGTTGTGGCTAAAGCCAAGAAACTTAAAGTAGATGGAGGCAAGGATTAATAGTGGAAGAAAAGGATTTATGCGTACATGCTTTTATTTAGGAACTGAGAAAGGGGCTGATTTGGGTCCACTCATTACTCCTGAAGCAAAACAAAGAGTCTGTGATCTTATTCAAAGTGGAGTAGAAGAAGGAGCTAGTGTAAGAAAGAGAGAGACAATTAAGTTATTATGATAGTTTTTAAATTTCTTTTCCAGCTGGTCCTTGATGGGAGAGACGTTAAGGTTGATAGTGGGTATGAGAAAGGAAATTTTGTGGGTCCATCCATCCTGTCTGAAGTCAAGGTATTTCAATATAGCACATTTTGACCCAGTTTTTGAGCAATTTTAAAAATTCATAAAAACTCCAAATTTGATCGGAATCAACTCAAACTTTCTATGCAACATAAGTACATGTATATGCATCAGAAAAAGTTATAAAAGTTGAGAATTCTCACCAAGTGATTTTTAGCGAAATTTGGCCCGTGACCCTGTACTATAGTACAGGGACTTTGGCCCAGTTTTTGAGCAACTTTAAAAATTCATAAAAACTCCAAATTTGATCGGAATCAACTCAAACTTTCTATGCAACATAAGTACATGTATATACATCAGAAAAAGTTATAAAAGTTGAGAATTCTCACCAAGTGATTTTTAGCGAAATTTGGCCCGTGACCCTGTACTATAGTACAGGGACTTTGGCCCAGTTTTTGAGCAACTCTAAAAATTCATAAAAAATCCAAATTTGATCGGAATCAACTCAAACTTTCTACGCAACATAAGTACATGTATATGCATCAGAAAAAGTTATAAAAGTTGAGAATTCTCACCAAGTGATTTTTGGTGAAATTTGGCCCGTGACCCTGTACTATAGTACAGGGACTTTGGCCCGGTTTTTGAGCAACTTCAAAAATTCATAAAAAATCCAAATTTGATCAGAATCAACTCAAACTTTCTACGCAACATAAGTACATGTATATGCATCAGAAAAAGTTATAAAAGTTGAGAATTCTCACCAAGTGATTTTTGGCGAAATTTGGCCCGTGACCCTGTACTATAATACAGGGACTTTGGCCTGATTTTAAAGCAAAGTTAAAAATTAATTTTCATTGAAATCAATATGCAACATAAGAACCTGTCATGTACATGTTTTATCATATTTTATATTACACTATTAGCCAAACATGAAATGTTATACTGAGGAGATATTTGGACCAGTTCTAGTGACACTAAATGTCGACACTTTGGACGAGGTACAGCTCATGATATTAAATAAACTACCTTTAAAATGTTCTCTTGATTCCTTAGGCAATTGAACTCATTAACAGCAATCCTTACGGGAACGGGACAGCCATTTTTACAAACTCCGGTGCAGCTGCAAGAAAGTTCCAGAATGAGATTGATGTTGGGCAGGTTTGTTTTCAGTACCAGCATGAGAAATAATCGGCTACAAATACATTTCTATTTCTCTCTCTCTCTCTCTCATGCCCGTAGGTTGGTATCAACGTTCCGATTCCTGTTCCTCTCCCAATGTTTTCATTCACTGGCTCACGTGCATCATTCCAAGGAGACGTCAATTTCTATGGAAAACAGGTCAGACATTTAAAAACCGAATTACCTTTAATAAATTAATATATTAATTTATTTATAATAATTATATTAAAAATCAAACTATCAATTTTATTTTAATGAAATAATTATTATATTTTTAATATAGGGCATACAGTTTTACACCCAGGTGAAGACTATCACTAGTCTGTGGAGACAGGAAGACGCTGGAACTGGTCCCACACCAACTGTGATGCCCACCATGAAATAAAGAAAATATTTTCTATCATCTTTTTCTTGTTATTATTATCTAGTTAAGTATAATAGTAGGACAGAGAAGGAAATTTGTTATTAATTATCATCTATTGTTATTAATATTGTTTTTTTTCATTTCAACTTTACAAATAAAGTATATTGCGTAATTATGGCTACGGACAAAAATTTGCGCCTTTTTTATTACAATTTTAATTGCATTTTATTTTAATTAACACATCAAAATAATAAATAACAAAAAACAATAATAATAATAATAATGATCGATTCACAAAAATGATTGTAATTTTTACAAAATTTTAAATTTCCAGAAAAATAATGCGTCCCTCTCCTTTAAGTGCAAAAGCAGAGAAAACAATAATTAATTTTTGTAATGATAAATTAATGATGATAATAATAGTTAGTAGAAACGAGAAGAGAAAGAGAGAGAGAGAGAGGGTGGAGTGATGAATTAGACTTGAGAGCTTGTGGCTGACAGTTTGCGGTGAGTGTTCTGTGACTGCTGTCTCTTTTGAAGGTCGCTGATTTGTTTCTCCATTTTCTTTAAACAATTCCTCAACTCTTTATTACTCTCTGACTCCTACAGAATTAATAATAATATTCCAACAATCAATGGTTCTTCTAGACAGCATATTATTGTATATCTAACCTGCTCTAGTTTAGACTCCAGCTGGGCTACTTTGCTTTTTAAATGATGAACTGGCTCACTTTGTACAGACTAATAAGAAGGAAAAGAATAATACCACTGCATGACACAATATCTCAATTATCTTCCCCCTCCCTCCCTCCCTCCCTCCCTCTCTCTCTCTCTCTCTCTCTCTTATTCTTACAATATTGGATGTGCTGTATCCAGTAGGACTCTCCGATCTAGTTGGGCTGCCAGCTGGATGCACAATTTGATGATTCACTGGATCGTTAGTTACATCAAGTACGCCGGCTTCCTCTGTCTGTTTCACCCATTCAGCAACACTCCTATATTATACCAATATCCATCACATTATTAAGTCACCATAAAAGGTGCAAAATTACACAAGAACATTTCTTTCTAAATAAAATTGTACTTGCCAGCTCAATGAGCTCATAAATGTAGATAAAAATTAAGGGACAGGCCTTTAAAAATTGGAAGATATTTTGAAAGGCTTTGTACACGTATAACATCATGTACAAGTACATGTACGTGCATGCATGCATAAGCATTAGAATTAAGCAATAAAATTAACAATAAAACCACCAGCTGTACTCCCTTACCTGCAGTAACTGGTGATATCGCCCATGACAGTGTCCCAAGAGAGGAGCTGATTGTCAGCGTCTGACATTTCCTCTCTCTCGTCAAAAGTGAAGTGTTTTTCCGAGAGACTTTTAGGACTCTGTAAATGACTAGCGCCAGTGCCAAACAATGGCTTCCTGGCCACGCCTCCTTGATACCTCGAGTCTCCTTGATATCTTGAGTAGCCATTGTGAGATTTCGGAGTGAGAGAAAGAGGTTTTTGAGGAGGGTTTAGAGTCTGTCTGTGTTTGGGTGAGGCAGACGGTGAGATGGAGCCTCTCGTTCTGTAGTACGAGTGATTGATACCTTCGTCTCTGTGTGAATAAATGAATTAATAGAGTGAGTGGGTGGAGCATTTGTGGCTTTATAATTATGTATTGGCAGCGTAACATTAAGTTAATTGTAAAATTATTTCAAAATCAATAATAATAACAATAATAATAATAATAAATTAAAATAATCTCTCTCTCTGTCTCTTTCTTGTCATAACACGTACACTTTTAATAAAAACATGTCACTGTCCATGCATGTACATAAGCTATAATTAACAAACAAACAAACAAAAATAAAAACACAAACAAACAAACAAAATCAAAAACAAACGACAAGTCTAATAAGTTCTAGCTTCTCTCACCTTCGCTCATCGCCGCCAATGAAAGTGAACCGAGGCTGATTGGAGAGGCTGTTTGGAGTTGCGAGGGGAGATTCAACAGAGTTCTTTCTCATCGGAGAACATGGCTGGCTTCCAGTAGAGTGTCTCGTCTTGAAGGACCTAGGTAGCGTCTGTGTAGAGCCGGTTTTCATTTCCCAGAGTTTAGTTCGGTCTCTCACAGAAAGTTTAGTCATTTTAGTACTCGTCTTAACTTTGTCTTCTCTCTCAAGATCATCAGGAGAAGCTCCTTCTTCAAAAAGTTCCAAGACCTCGTCTAGAGGCTTCGTAGGGTTACTGATCTGCTGGGTCAGAGATGGGTGTGGCTTCACTCCATTGCTACTTATATTTTCTGTATCATTAGTCTCGAGCGTTTCGCTATCGCTAGTGGGCGGGGCAGTGGGTGCGGTCTTCTGTCTGAATGGTTGTCTGACTTGAGCGTTTCGCTGAAAGAGAGCGTCCGATGAAGGTCTCTCGGGAGGCGGCAGACTCTCTCCCCTGTCCTCTCTCCCGATCAACCTGTTGCCTTCATCTTCCTCGAGTATTTCCGTCGCATCCCAAGACATCGGGCGATGAGTCTTTGCCCCAGTCTCTTCTTCATCGTGGCTCCCACCAGATGGCTGTAGACTGGGTTCTTGGTTCTGCGATACGACTATTGGGACATGAGAACTTTTACGAGAGACAGAGGAGCGATACGGGCGAGAGTGCTGAAGGGAAAACCTCTTCTTCATTTCGTGGACTTGACCGACCGGAGGCATATTGTCGAATCCCTTTTCCCCTAACGCTCCAGGCACTGGGTACTTCCTCTGGACGTGGGAGAGAGGGGAAGCAGTGTGCCTCCTATCAGGTATTGATGAGCTCTGGGATATCTGAGTGTTTATGTATGGGGAATGCTCCTCTATCTGATGGTTGGCTGGTTGGGGAGTCCATGAATATCTCTCACTGGATTCTCCATCTTCTCCAGAATGATCCATGATATTATTAGCTAACTGTAGTACACTCTGCCTTATAGCTTTGGGTTGAGTGACCTGCGGAGAGAAAAGAGAGAGAGGGGGAGAGAGAGAGAGAGGGGGGGTAAATTAAAGAGGAGAGCGAAAAGTAAAGGGCAAAGGTCATTAGATATCATGGTGCTGGTTTACAAACAGTTTTGTTTTTATGAAAGTTAACAAAGTCAAACACAAGCAATAAGCAGTTATATACACTGCACGCATCACACAATCTATTTTTGTAATCACACACCTACATGTACATGCACAAAAATGTATTTTTAGTTTACTGTACGTGTGTACATGTAAATTCACGTACCTTTAATCTTGAATAGCTCTTTCCAGCACTAGGACTAGGAGGACCCCCTCCCCCTCCCCCTCCTCCTCCTCCCCCTCCTCCTCCTGTGGTGTTCAGTGATACTGCACTCTTAGCTGACGGTGATAGACTACCTCTGTTACCATAACTCAATAGCCGATCATAAATATTCTCATCCTAAAAAATAAAAAAAAGGGATCCAATTTTGATCAGAATCAACTCAAACTTTCTACGTAACATAAGTACATGTATATGCAACAGAAAAAAATTATAAAATGAAGAATTCTCACCAAGTGATTTTTGGTGAAATTTGACAAAAGTCCCTGTACTTACAGTACAGGGACTTTTGCCTGATTTTGGAGCAATTTTAAAAATTCATAAAAAATCTAATTTCAATTAAATTCAGCTCAAAGTTCATAAACAACATAAGAGCATGTACATATACAGGGTATATCTATTGTATGCCACACCTGCTGATAAGGATCAACGACTTGTAAGTGATCTGGGCGTGTCCTTCTCCTACTGCTCGAAGCACCTACAAAAACGGTGTCTGCCGAGAGTTTCCTCCCGCAATGAGTAGGCGGGGCTTGCAGTGCCTCGCTGCTGTCAGGAAGAGGAGGAGGTGAAGATTTAGAAGACCTAAGAGAGAGAGAGAGAGAGAAAACAGAACTCATTCAAAATGACTGGCAATTACTGTATCATAATGTTTAATACTAATCCCATTACTTAATTCAATAGAAAACAAAATGACCATAATACATGTACAAAGTATAGCTACAGAAATTGTAGAACTACAATGAACATCAACAACAATCAAAAAGTATAATATATCCTATTTTGGTATAAATTCAGAACAATAACAATGTCACATGACAGAGCAGTCACATGAGTCCATCTACAATATACTGAAGTATACTAATAGTATGCATGCATATACTAACATGTTGTTAGAGTTCTTTTCCTGATTATTATCGGTAGTTTCCTCCGACTCGTTACATTCATTAATAGCCTGAGGTCTTAAAGACCACACTTCCTCCCAATCAACTGGTACACGCTGGAGGCGCGGCCTATAAAAACAATAAATAAATAAATAAATATATAATGTTTACCTATCTGATCGTGGAGCAGGTGGAACCACAAAAGCTCTTACGACAGCTCTGTTCTTATCGTGTAACAGGTCAGCAATATCACCAGGAGGATTACAGCACACGAGCTTATCTTCAACTTGTAGAACCTGGGCTCCTTTTTGAAGTCCTCTCATCTTAGCCAGGCCGTCAACACGGACGACAGTTCCGTTTTGATCGATTGTAAAACCTAATAAACCAGAGATGACACTCCGACCAAATTCAAGAAGAATAGCCTAAAAAGAGAGAGAGATTATTTTTTTAAAAAGGAACAAACATACATGTATGTGTATATGTACATGTATATGGCATAACAAATGACCATAAAATAACAAAAACAAGAAGTGTAAAGTTTGTGTTTAAAAGAGTGAGACTGGACTAACTTCCTGTGCATTTGATAAAGCCACCAGTCTTCTACAAAAGTCCAAAACATCCTCCACCTGCTCGTGACACTCAATACTCAAGCAATAACAATGATCATAGAAGAGATTAAGTCTAAAGAGAAAGTGAAAGTTAATAAAAATGTACATGTACATGTACATGGTACACATGAAGTCCTAAATAACCAACAACAACACAGCTACAGTGAACTAATACACTTGTATGTATTGTACATGTACATCTTTAATTTTCTCTCTCCCCCTCTCTCTCCTCTCTCTCTCCCTCTCTTTTGTGACATCAAAGGCAAAAAGGTGATACCTGCACAGTAAAATTTAGAGTATTACAAACTACACTGTACATTTATATAGCCTTAATGTAGAGTAGTATTATAATAAATATAATAAATGATATACTTGTACTATCTAGAGTTTAGCTTACCTATTCCTGTCATGTGTATATCCACTAATGTCAGTAGTAGGAATGTGTAGTAAAGCAACCTGCAATGAACATGAAAACAAATCAACACACACAACAATATACTATAAACTATACACACACACACACACACACACATGTACATGTACATGTACATATACACTATACTACCGTGTGGTATATCAAGAGTAGATGTATACTGTATGTGTTCTTCTAATAAAACAAAGTAATCATGTAAATTAGCAAATGTGCAAACAAACATTGAACGCTGCCATTAGTATCGAGTTAGTATCAATGACATCTCTATTGAATGCATGACGGGAATTATTAAAATGAAATAAAATCCATCCAAAAAAAGGAATACACAATATTACATGTATTTTATTGCAAAGAGACACATGTATGAGTGCTGCTGATACAGATACATCACTTGCCTTGTCACTGTTAATGAATGTGAGCACATCAGGAGCGAGACAGAGTGTACAGTCAATACTGTAGTCATGATCCTCTGAGAATGGTAGAGGCTGCAACAAAGAAGATAATGATATTCATTGATGCACATCAAACAACCCACACCACCACCTGTTGAGCATATAATGTGCGACCCACAATGCTATGAACAGGTTAGTAGGATTTATAAGGACAGTCTACATCATTTGCATACCAGATAGTTTGTTGCTGTAAGGCATGGAATCTAAGGATATTAGTTAATCAAAATTTTTGAATGGACCTTATGATGGTCCTGCACATTTTTGATACTAAAAACTAATTGTGGGGCTAGGGGGATCAATTTTGATCAATCTGATGGAGTATTGGTGGTATGCACAATAATAGCCAATTGAACTGCCAATCTAACATCATCACGTGATTGCCATGTGATCATCATGTGACTGTCATGTGATCATAATGTGATTGTCATGTGATCATAATGTGATTGTCATGTGATGCTTACCTTCCAGTGTCTCATTATGATAGACACAGACCAGGTCATAGCCCCAGGGGTAAACAGTATCGGACTCACCAACCCAGCACGGTCACGCTTGCGTCCAAACAATCGACCTGAAAACACGAAAGTATGAAACACGAAAAAACAAGAATGAGATTACCAAGAGCTCCTGACCCGGCCTGATCAATAGTAACGGAGGTGGCTCCTTCTTTGACAAGATCACTGAGATATTGTTTACGAGTTCTAGTGGCCATTGCATAGAGTTTGTCACTGTGAAGGGCAGCATTGCAAGCATTGATTACTAGAGAGAGAGAGAGAGAGAGAGAGAGAGAGAGAGAGAGAGAGAGAGGGAGAGGAGAATGACTATTAATATCAAGCACAGAAAAACTGAATGAAATTTGCAGATAAAAAGACACAAGGTTCTTCTTACATTTTGTGATTAGGAAATTTCTAAATTTTTCACTTTTCTGGAAAGTGCCCCCTTCAGGGATGGGTGGGCCAAAATAAGGGACATCATTACTCCTTGAGACAGAAACTCTAAAAAAGGAGGAGAGAGGAATGAGTGAAGATATTGAGAAAGAAAGAGAGAGAGAGAGAGAGAGAGAGAGAGAGAAAGAGAGAGGGAGAAGGGGGAGGGAGAGAGGGGGGGAATCTGCTCACTTGTAAGCAGGTGGACCAGGGCTCTTTGGGTTGCTTTCCTCTACTCTGACTACAATGAAGATGTGTTGAAAGTGTGATCTTATAGTCTTAGGAGAGAAAGGGATTGAGCCAGGCTCTTGAAATATCAGCGTCACTATATCATTACCGATATGTCTCTTTCTAAGCAGCTGCAAAATAATAAAAAAAGAGGACACACATGTACATGTACATGTATATACAGTATTATGATTGATGAAAAATTCACACTAATTTAAGTGAAGTAGAATCAGTTCTTATAGCCTACAGTACTCTGTCTCTCTATTCTACCTGTTGTTTATTGGCAGGAGTGAATGGTAAAAGCGTTGACACGTGAAACATGATCTCTGAGTTCTCATACGAAGTATAGATGCTGTATTCACCTGTTGTGTCGGCTAATAGGAGGAAGAGAGGAGAAGTGACAAATGAATAATTACAGTGTCGCTATAACAACTCTCCTCCTCTCTCTATCACTCTATGCATTCCTACATTAACATGTTGTGATGGAGTTGGGCTATAAAATATCCTATTAGACAAACACCATGTGTACATGTACATACAGTTGCTCTTCACACATATACAATACACATGTATGTGTACATGTACATGTACATACATGTAGAGAGCATTTATACCAGAGAGCTGCTGGAATATTAGTACAAAAAGACACAGTATAAGAGGAATGAAGACTTGTCTTTGTTTCAGCTCCGAGAGCCACTCATTGCTTACTTACATTCAAGAAAATGAAATGGAGGACCCACTAGTTAATCCGTTAGCTCAATCGGATAATCCTTTTTGTATGTACATGTGTATATTCTCACTAAAGTCTCATGGAAACAGTTCACATAAGCAGACACACACAGACTAAGTACAGTGTAAGTATAGCTGCTTTTTTTCCCTCTCTCATAACACTTTTGATATACCAAATCCCAATAGAATTACAATACAAACTCTCATCATCATCATTATCACTATCATAATAATAATAATAATAATGTAATGTCATTATTACTATCATCATCATATCGAGGGGTTAAATACACAACAGAATTAACACACACACACACAATTAGTGTCTGTGACATATACTCATGCCATAATGACACACATATGTACATGTGTAGTATGATGTTAACACATATCAGACGATAACACAAGATCAGTTACATATATACATGTACATGTACATGTAGGCATGCAGGGTTGTCCATTAAAGTATAAATTTTTAAAGTTGCTCACAAAACCTGAGAAACAGTCTACTCTACCGCCCACACAATTAGTTGATTCGCTCACTTTTATTGTCCAGCTGGGCTCGGTACTTGTTGAACCCTTTCATCTTTACTTTCTCGCCGATCAGATCAAGAAACTCCTCAAAAGCAGGACTACCGGTTTCTGAAGAAACACAAAAAAATAAGTCACATAAATTTGATATTATCTAATCTTTTTCCTTAGTCTTTGATCCTCCCTCTCTCTCTCTTACCATTATTGTACCATTCTTCTTCAGTTATTTGGCCGGCCTTACAATAAAGGACTCCAATCTTATACTTGTTGTTTAGCTCCTGCTCATCGAGACGCATCAACTCTCTTGTAGTCTAGAAAGAGAAAGAGAGTGATCTTAAATTAGGGCTGTCACTATAGCAGCTGCTGCCCACTAAAGCCACAGCATAGATTAATAACACATAGCAGGTGACTATTAATTCATTACATGTATAAATAGAGAGAATCAAGAACCAATTGTACCTTGTCATCTGATTTTGCTAGTTTCAAAGATGACAGCTGCTGCAGTTCTCCTTGTGTGATGTACTCCATTACTTCCCGTGGTGGTATACCTTTATTTGATCCTGCCTTTATGCTTGAGGGAATAGACTCCTCCATTATAGTACCTCTGAGCGTTGGGATCTGTAAGAGAGAGAGAGAAAACAGTAATGACATGTACAATTACGCACGTAATTTAGTTTTAATTAAATTCTCATTTTCCTTGACAGACACAAGGTACTATATACTCAATTATACCGGCCACAAAAATGTTACAAAAATTTAAGGTAGAGGGAGATAGAGGGGAAATGTTTTCTTACCTCACTGGTTCTTAAAATGACCCTGTACTGATACTTCTGTGTCACTCTTTCATTGCTTGGCTGTCCATTAGAGAAATAGTGTATAACCTTGTTACTCACTTTCTCTCTCTTTAGAGATATGACCACAGGGCCAAGGTTGTCATCAAAACCAACAAAATTCTGATGTTCTGAATAAAGAGAGAAAGAGAGGGAAAAGGATAAATAATGTAGGTAGCAGCTGGATTAGCATGTGTGTATGTATGGGCATGTACAGCATTCCAACTAGTAACAAAATACCAACAATAGAACAACATGTACTCACAACAATAAAAACATTTACATGCTATACCTCACACAAAATGACAGAGGGAGAGAGTGAGGAGAGAGTTTACTGCATAGCACAAAGGATAGATAAGGAAAGCACCTTTACACTTAGCATAACAATAATAATATAAACAATGTACAAGTATAAACAGATTGATGCATACAGGTGCTACGTGACCCTAGATAAGGACACCTTTATAATGAGGACATCTTGTAATGTCCCAACAAAGCCCAAAGGACATACTACATGCATGCACCAAGTACATGTGTACATACAAATTGGATGTACTATACCATATTGATATTCATAGGAAGAAACCACAATAGACATACCAATCTACCAGAGACACTTGTTTGAATATAATTCACATTAACATAAACACATACACACTGTAATTATAAATAACTCCCTCAGAAGAGACAATGAGAATGGAAGGCAAGTAATACAATGATTGGATTCACAGGATACAGCCATCATGGACCTGCTATTCATGAGAGTTTGCTTAATTGTCCATAAAATTTGAAATAAATGGAGTATGGAACATACTACTACAGAAGAACACACACACACACACACACATGCACACACACACACACACACACAGAGGGAGGGAGAGACTTAAAAATGTACAGCTGCAACATTGGCACAGCTGCAGGACATAAATATGAATTATGGCAGTGTACACAAAATTATAAAATTTAAAAACATATTGAGTACAAAAAAACAAAAAATTAAGGAGCAAACATTTTACATGTACACATACATACCAAAAAGGAAACTAAAATGGAGGATATGTGTACATGTACATGATAGAATGAGACGAGAGAATGAGTAAAAATTCCCCCATAACATTGTTTGTTCATTTCTATTTCCTTACTACACATGAACCCAGGAACTTTCATATACTGCACGAAATAGACCAACCAACCAAACACAGGCACACATACATAACAACTCATAACATGTCTTCATTATTAGTAACGCGGTAGCGTTACTAAGTAGGATTTACCCCACTTCAAAATGGCTGCCACTACTTTTGCAGCCTTGCTTAGTATTAGAGCTCTCTAGTATCTTATCATGATCATACCGATAGCCATCTAATGTGTGTGTGTGTTGGTCACAAGATGAAAACCTCAAATATTCCATTCTCTCTCTCAGAGTGTCCCTATATATACACATCAAATCATACCACTGACCTCAATATATTGTAAAGACGACCAATAGAGGAGTAGGTGTACTACATACTACACTGGATGTACAAGTACATATAATGCGGTACATGATTGTAGGCGGCTACTATAGACAGTTGCAGCTGATTTATTGGAGACAAGAGGCAATTGGATAAGGATCAAATTAACATTCTATGACAAACCACAGTCTCAGGAGACTATGAGAAAGTGAGTAACAATGGAGTAGACACATATGCACACGCATACACACATACAGACACATATACATGTACAACTACACAAGTGTACTACATGGATACATTCTATGTGTATGTAATTCCACTAGAATTAAACCATTTCATAAATAAACATGTACAAAACTGTTCTACTCCTCTCTCTCTCTCTCCCTCTTTTCTCCTACGTTAGCGATGGTAACTGGCCGTTAAGTAATTACTAATAATGATGACATATATAGAGTGTGAATAAATAATGAAGAGGTCATGGTTCGTTACAATCAGTTGTCAATATAGTCAAAACTAGCAGAAGATGAGGAGGAGAACTCAATTAAATGAAAGGCTGAGGCCATCAAGACAAAACAATTGATCACATGGAAATGTGCCAGTAGATCACAACCACTCGTACTGTAGCATAAGCGTCCATTGCTCTTGACAAAAGTAATGTTGACAGACAACATTAAAGGCAACTGCTATAACAACAAATGACCTTTTATTAGCAGCCAGTGTTGCCCTGTTGATAATTATGATGGTGAAATCTTCCCAAAACAATTTATACCACGACTTCTAAGATCGTATTAAACATGCCTTCTCTCCCTCCCTCCCTCTCTCTCTCTAAAAATCATAATAATCAAGTCCCCATTATATGTCAATATTTGTCTCCAGAGTCCATAGAAATGGTCACTCAGAAATGAAATAAACTTCAATTCCATGAGTGTGACTACATTTCACTGGTATTTATAACCACACACTGATATCAGTCAGACTAGCAGCCTAGCTATTACTACACACTCACACACACACACACACACACACACACACACACACACACACACACACACACACACACACACACACACACACACACACACACACACAATAAAACTAGACATCACTACTATTAAACTATACAGCACTGATATGTGACAACATCCTATTGTACCTACATATCAGAGATTACAGTGCATATTTTGCCAACCTCGACTGGTATAGGTCAGTGGGTTTAATAGCATTAAAGTAAATAGTAGACAGAGATCAAAAGAAGGAATCATCCTTTGAAAGGTAGCCATCTACAGCTAACACATACAATGGATGGTAAAATGCTTTTTAAAATATACATGTGTGCGTGATTGAGGGATTCTATCTTAAAGAGAGAGAGAGGAGAGAGAGAGAGGGGGATGTGTCAATGCAAGCGTATGACAAATTACACGAGAGGTATTATTAGTAATTATAATGAAGTGGTACAATTAATTACACACACACATAAGTTATACACAAAGGAACACATACACACACAAACAAAGAGAGAGAGAGAGAGAGAGAGAGAGAGAGAGAGAGAGAGAGAGAGAGAGAGAGAGAGAGAGAGAGAGAGAGAGAGAGAGAGAGAGAGAGAGAGAGAGAGAGAGAGAGAGAGAGAGAGATAGCCCAATGTTTGTTAACAGTGCAGCATTTGAATAACAATTCTAACAGCTGCTATAAAAAGTGCCACCTCTTTACAAAGCAAAACAGATAAGAGAGAGAGAGAGAGGGAAAACACATCGATCTAAATTAATAAGCTAAACTGATATTAGTATTCATTATGTTTCTTAATACAGTGTGTGCAAATAAGTCATTATGCCATTAAGGCAATCCTTAACTGCATGATGACACACACACACAAAGGCACTGTAGATTAAACCATTTAAGATGGCGATAAACACCTCGCCATACTAGAATAAGCGATAAGTGTTCTGTTGGCAAAATATTAGCTGGACCTTCCAAGGAAGAGAAAGGAGAGTGTGAGATAAGGTGATTATAATGAAGACACTTTGCATGCATAATGTGAATGAGAATAATAAATATATAGAGGAATCATACATGAAAGAAAGAAGCTTATGGTAATATACATGTACATGCAGTGGGTTACATGTACAATGTATATATAAAGACACATACATGTGTACACATAGAAAAGGCAAAATAAATAAATAAAAAATTGTGTTCCCTTAGGCCTACACAGAATATACTTTAGATGCAATTACAATCAGCAACAAAAACAGAAACAAATGAAGATAAAGTTTAGTTTTCTCTAATTAACATTCGGCCAAAGGTAAACACAATTTTAAGTCGAATAAGGGAATGGGGTAAGTGAGCTTTATCAAATAGATAACAAGACTTTTGTTTATGGCAGGATCCAAAGATAGAAATTGAATCGTAAATCACAAGCTATCAGGAGCAAAAAAGGACAAAGGAATCAATTATTGTAAGGACAGAGGGACAAAGGACAATCGACACACAGCGCTAAACAAAATTAACAACTCATCTTTGAAACACGTTCACACGACAGAACAGCAGCAAATCTGGTGCATTAATGAGAGGAGAGGGATGGAAGATTAGAGGGGCATAAAGTCTAGGTGACACTTTGAGCTGTTGAAACAAAGGCAACGTGTACCAAAACATTGCAAATGCCAATCAGTTGAAGCAAATTGTGGAAATGAAATAACCTGCCATCATTATTACCAGGTACATGACCACACACATACATTTACATGCACATCATACACAAACATGCTCCGTGTTACATTGTACATGTACTGTATAGTAATGTTATCAGTGGTGACTGTCAATCATGACAGTATACATACAATCCAATGGAAGACAAGACATTTAAAATCAATGCCAAAAAAGACAGGTGGTGTCTTTATGCTCCACTCCTACACACTAGCTCTCATCTATAGGAAGCATAAGGACCCATTTCCCTTAGCTCAATAATATGAAATGTTACATTTAACCATGATATGAGGAATGATGATTTGTAGACCATAGGATATAAAATAACGATGGTGAGTAAGAGAGAAAGGGGAAATGAAAGGAAGAAGATGCTAACCTTTATCGTAGAAATAATTTCTATAGTAGCAGGCTCCATAGTCAATGAATTCCAATGGAAACGTTACTCCTGATTGAACAGTGAAAGTATCCACAGATATAGGCCCGTTGCTGCTTTCATCAAATTCACCATCAAGAACAATCTTCTCCCTAGAGCAGACCCTCAGTCTCTTCTCTTGACTCAGGGACTCTCTCAGTTTAGTGATGATGCCCTGTGTGAGGAGCCAGTCTCCTCTTTCACCAATCTCGTTCCTAAAAGCAGGACAGACGGCGACGAGCTCATTCCCGATGTCATCTCCTTGAGAAGTCGACTGGGAGGGATCATTAGAGGGCGAACCCTCTCCTTCCGAGTCCGCAACCGAGTTGAGTAAAGCTGCAGAGGCTCCTGTGGGTTTCCTGAGTACCTGGTGTCTTGATTCAGGGCCACCAGTTGCTTGAACACTGAGCCTGTTCACAGTCACAGACTGAATGTCATAATATCCAAAATTACGAATCTTCCATGTCCTAGTGTCAGGAGTCCCGGGCGACTTTCCTCTTCCTCCAGCAGTTGAAGACATCTCAGAGGAGTCTTGCGACTTTAGCTTGTGTTTGTTACGAAACGAGCCGCTCCTGGAGAAGCTCTTGTTCAGTCCGCCGCGATGTAGTTTACCAGATACAGATTTGTCCTTATGATCTCCTCCTCCTCCGTTGGTAGCAATAATATGAGGAGCACTGGAGGTTGTGGTGACTCCTGTAGTACTAGTATTAGCTAAAACACCACTCCCAGCAGCTGATAATAAAGTGCTCCCACCGGAGGAGCTGTCACCTTCCCTCTTTGGGAATTGAATAGAGCCAGCTTCCTGTACTCCTCCTGCTGCTGACATAGTCCAATAGGCTACACAATCACTCCTTCACAACTATGTAGCGGTTTACTCAGAGACACAACAGTCAGCGTGCTTGGAATATCTTTTGCTCTCTCTCTCTCTCTTGTTCCACTCACTTTCCTTCAACGGCTACAACAAAGAGAATTTCTTTCTCCTCCTCGAGGGATGGGTCTATGAATAATAATTGAAAATAATGGATTCTTAATTTTAATAAGTTAAATTAGCTACATTAATAATTAGCACTGTTAAAGTTTTTTGAAGAAAGGAAATGACAGTGACTATCAATAGAGACAAAATAAAATTTTAACAGAAACAATTAATTTTTAGTAGCCTTGCTAATAAAACAAAGAAACATAATAATAATGAATGTCCTAATTCTTGTATTGCTTTTCCTCTGTATTTTAGATGGCAAAAGTATTGTCATTGTGTAGTGTGTTCATCAGTATCCACACCACTAATAACATCATCATCGATTTCTATGCTGCCAAATGGATCAGACTCTTCACTAAAAGCTGAGAGAGTTGGCTTCTTGATGAGAAGACGATTCTTTGGTTTAACTTTAGCTCCTTTCTCCTCTTCTCCGCCAAGAAAGTCAGACACGACACTTGGAACATAATACCTAATAAACAATGACAAGTAACATCGCTCATTGTTGCTAGTATATTGACTAGAAGCTAGAGTATCTGATGTATTATTATCAATCATTTTTGTTGCAAACTGGCATAGCCTGCTATTTAATAATCACACCTTCCAGTCTCCTTTTCAATGTAGGAGAACCTTCTCCCAAATACTGGAGATGGGACAGCTTTATGTTTAGATGTTTTAACGCTCTAGATTAATATAAAGAAAAATTACACCAGCCACTCCACTCTCTTTACCCGTTTTCTGCGTGAAAAGATTGTTTTCCTTAATGCTTTAAAAAAAGTAGACAAATTTGCTTTTAAAATAGTAACTAAGCAGTTACCCTAAAAATGAAATAAACTAGTTCTATACATTCATCTCTTTTATGCATTAACTTACATCAGCCCATCCTGGATTGCTTTCACAATAAAACTTAATATCTGGATCCTTCATATCCTCATCAGTGATTGTTGAAGCAAAGGACTTTTAAAAACATGAAAAAAGAATTAAACATTAAAATTAATTTATGTCTTGGCTATATACTTTGAGTGTGTTGCCTGTCCTTTTGATGGCTCCGGTCTCTCGGACGTATTCTTCGTCATCAGTCATTATTGATTTTGCAAAATCTTCCATTATGCTATTAAAGAATATCTTTAATACCTCTCTCTCTCCCTCCCTCCCTCCCTCCCTCCCTCCCTCTCTCTCTCTCTCTCAACCTCCCCAGCTGCCAGTCCTTCACTCTCATTAACTAACTCTAGCATAAATTCTGGTGTCTTTTTCTTATAACTTGGATACACATCGTCGGGCCACATTTTCCTAAAAGACTATAAAAAGGTTAAACTACCATCCATATCTTGTTGATTGTCTTACAATGTAACTCTTGTATCCAAAACTTTTCCCAATTACGTACAAAGTAGTGAAAGGGTGCAGAAAAAATTCTGTATTGAACGGGAAAGTAGATAAAATTGATGATTATTTTCTTTACCTTTAAATATTAGATAAGATCCAGTGTAGAATGCAAAGTGGCCCCCTCTGTATTTATGACTCATTACAGTCGTGCCAATCTAAAGTAGCACGGTATAGATCCAAATTTTTGTCAGTCAAAAATTTTGTCGAAATCTTAATTTCTCGTTAAAATTAATTTCTGTCAATAAAATTTTCGTCTTTTTGTTACAAATCAGCATTCTACCCAAATAAAACAAAAATTTCGTCGAACAAAATCCCTGATGAATTCGATGAAATTTTTGACTGATGAAAATTTGAAGCTATACGGTAATCCTAGCTTATTTGTATTAACAATTTTAATGTAGCGTTAGTGTACATGTATTTTAAATGCTCCCTCGAATGCTTGTAACTGCTCAAATTTTATACACAGCATAAGGGCATCAGTATGTTATGCAACCTTTCATAGATATCTTTTATTTCTCGACTAACATTTAAGATGTTGTAATCCTTCTTTCGAATGATTTTGTACACCATGAATCCCCTCAAAGATCCCAAGGTGCTATCCCGAAAGGCAACAACGTAAGTCTGTGTGAGAAGGTATTTGTGAAAATCATGGATACTATAAAAAATGATTATAATATTATATAATTGTGACAATCGTGATACCTGTAACTAGTATTGATGTATTCCTTTGCAAGGATGTACAATTCATTGACTGTAGCCTATGAAGGATACATTCATAGCTACATACATGCATATATACATAATACATATAATATTATATGTGTGTAGTCACTAAAGTATCGGCCAAAAGTAATCACTGCATGCAATAGTGACAACTGCCAATATTCTGATCTCATTCTTAAGTCAAAGCTACTGGTGAGCTTAACCTGGTGAACTAATGTGTTATAGCTATATAAGGAAATGCTACTGGAGGCATCAAATCACAGAAGAGAATTAGCTGTATTATTAAATAAAGAGGCTTCTTTACTGGAAATGGCTTCCTATTAATTTGCTATCCACTACTGAGGGGTATTGCTAACTTATATTTTTAGAAGTATAGGTTATACACCGAGGTAGAGGTTTCTATGGTATTTATTAACCAAGTGATGTAGTCGCGAGGTTAACAAATACCATAGAAACCAAGCCAAATGTAAGTAATCACGAAAACACGCTAATAATTGTCTCCTTTAGGTAAATCTCCTTAACATGCATATCCTCTATAATATTCAAGTCATATTTTCTCACCTCATCAAGGAGGTCTGACTCACACATAAAGGAATACAGTTTAGAGCGAAAATCAGCACTACGACGGTCAGTACTAGTAAATTAATAGTGAAAAAAGCAAAGTGAACAAGCCTTGAACTTTGGATGCCTACCTTCTCTGACCATGTATGAGGGACAAGATCACAATAAAATCTTTCACATTCTGCAATTAGGAGGATGTCATTGCAGTGTCTTATAGCTATTCTCTTCCTTACTTTTAAAAATTTCATACATTTGTTTCTTCCAAAGAAGAGGAAAAAGACCAAGAGAACAAATAAACAAACAGACCAGAACATCTTCAGAAAAAAAATTACTGACTAGTGGCCCTATGTCGTGGGCGTGTCTGTTGATGGGCGTGGCTAAACGTAAAGCTAACGTGTCACTGAAAATGGCTAAAAAAACCATGGATAATGATGTACTGGCTAAAGAAATGGCGAGGTAAAGGTATTATTCTTATACTATTACTCATAACATTCCCTCCTGTTCATCAGGTTTGAGCAGGAAGTGCTAGGAGTGGCGGCATCAGCTCCTCCAAGACCTGCTGTCCGGCCCAAAGGAGTGACTGTCTCTGCTCCTCCCACTACATCACATCCTCCAAGAACTGCACCAGCTCCACCACCACCACAAGCACCAGCTGCATTCAGTGAGACGCTACTCTATTTATGCTACATGTACATGTATATGGGGGCTGGTTTAACTTTATAAAATTCTATTTTATTTATTATAATGATGATTTATATTTACGTGTGTAGATCCAGCACTTCTAATGGGCCATCAGTCTTCAACTCCAGTCTCATTACTCGGCATACAAGCTGTCGTCAAGAATAGTGAAGACAGGACAGGTAGTGTCTATAAGTACTATCATACTTTTAGTTTCTTCCCATGTCTTACAATGTACATGTACATATAGGTCAGTCGTCCTCGAAGAAGTCAAAACAAAAGCAACCGAAAAAGGATCTGTCAAAACTAAGGATCGGAGGAGGTCAAGTTTGGGAAGATCTCACGCTACACGAGTGGGACCCAAGTCAGTCAATCTCTTCTTTATTTTTTATTTTTATAACATAATTTTTTAGACGATTATCGCATATTTTGTGGCGATTTGGGCAACGATGTTAGTGACGATACTTTAGCGAAGGCTTTCATGAAGTACCCGTCCTTCATGAAAGCGAAAGTGATACGAGACAAGTGGTCAAAGAAGACGAAAGGTTTTGGTTTCGTCAGTTTCAAAGACCCACACGACTTTATGGAGGCCATGAGAGAAATGAACGGTAAGACGTACATGCAGTTTATATTATGATTTGTATAGTGACATTAAATAATGACTGTGTGATGTACAGGGTATTTTGACAAAAATTACAAAGAGAGAATTTTCCACTTTTATAATTTATTCTGATAGATATACATGTTCTCATGTGATTTATCAAGATTGAGCTGATTCAGATTAAATTTGGATTTTTTATGAATTTTTAAAGTTGCTCCAAAATCAAGCCAAAGACCAAAGGCTATAGCCTTGGGTCATGGGCGAAATTTTGTCAAAATTGACTAGGAGAGAATTCTTGGTTTTTATAATTTTTTCTGATAGATATACATGTTCTGATGTAGTTTATCAAGTTTGAGCCAATTCTGATCAAATTTGGATTTTTTATGAATTTTTCAAGTTGCCCAAAAAGCTATGTGCTTGTCAGCTCAGAAAGCTCATACTGTTTAGCTCATTTAGGAAAACCCTGGTTTGCTTCTATCTCTCTTTATAATATTCCACAGGTAAATACATTGGTAGCAGACCAGTTCGATTAAAGAAAAGCCTGTGGAAAGACAGGTCCTTTGTAGAAGTAAAGAAGAGAGAGAAGGAAGAGAAGAAGAAGAATGCAGCAATGAAGGCTATGCAGCAGCAATGAAGGGGCTCCCTCTTAACTGTATTTTTAGATATTTATTATTGTACACCTTAAATTATATGTAATGTTGATCATTCATGTTTCAAAATTTAAATTAATATAGGGCGTGGCTAAGTTAATTAAAAAGGTGTGTAATGTTACAAGATGGCGGATAAGAGACAGGAAAGGTTGAAGATGGCCAGATCTCAGGCTGTCATGGCAGGAATGACTAGTTTCGTGATAAAAGAGACTATTCTGGCCCCTTTGACTCGTATAAAGCTCTTGCTCCAATGTCAGGGAGAGATGAGAAAGACTGGTCGCCTTGCAGTCCCTTATAAAGGAGTTTTTGATTGTGCTAGAACCATTTACAGAACAGAAGGGATCCTCTCTTTCTGGAAAGGCAACTCTGCTGGTTGCTTAATGTTCTTATCTTATCCTCTGACAATAGCTTTTAAAGAACAATTGCCCAAAATGAATTTCCTCAAAGTATACCACTCCGACTCTTACAAAGTCAAATTATCCAAGAACATAGCCTCTGGATTCTTATCGGGTGCAGCTAGCCTAGTACTCCTTTACAATATCTCTTACGCTCGTGTGCGTCTAGCTAATGATGTCCTTGCAACAGGAAAAGAGATGTCCCCACGTCAATTTAGTGGTTTGATTGATGTCTATCGCAAAACACTTCGGACTGATGGTATCATTGGTCTTCATCGTGGTTTTATGGTCTCGTGCCTTGGGATCATAGTATACCGTGGGACTTATTTTGGACTTTTTGATACGCTTAGACCAGTTGTCATTGGTAATGGCAAAACTGCTTCTCCTTTGTCACTTTTCCTTCTTGGTTATGGCGTTACACTAACAGCTGGGGTCATCTCATACCCACTGGATACAATAAGATCAAGAATGATCATGACTTCGTGTGAGCCTGTTCAATATAAAGGCTGGATTGACTGTGGGGTCCAGATACTAAAGAATGAAGGAGTCACTGCTCTATATGGAGGCGTTTCTATTAATATATTCCGTGGGATTTTTGGAGCAGCTCTGCTTGTACTTTACGATAGACTCAAACATTCTTTTATGTGATGCATACATAGATATTTTTCATTTTTATTATCATCACTGAGCATTCAATTGATGTGTGAATCAGATGTGTCATTGGATAGTACAAGGAGCTATTTTATTACCTCATTATTATTCATTGGCTTGTGGTGTGGAAACGTCACGTTGTCATAGCGACCACATTATTGTGTGACCTTTTTTATCTGTGAAGCTAAGAGAGAAGGGTTGGCCTTTTGACATCATCTCCTCGTGCGGTTTTGTCTTCCTCCTTCATTTTGAAAAGAGACAGACCTTCTAAAAGATAGCTATGAGCGGAAAAGCCGATCTAGGATTTGCCGAGAACTTTGCTCTCAGTGGGGTTGCCGCTGTCATCTCAAAAACTGCCGCAGCACCAATCGAACGTGTGAAGCTCCTCGTTCAAAACCAAGATGAGATGCTTAAGAGTGGCCGTCTCACCGAACCGTACAAGGGAGTCATTGACTGCACTAGTCGTGTCTTGAGGACTGAGGGAATCCTCCCATTCTGGAGGGGCAACTTGGCAAATTGTATTCGTTACTTCCCAACCCAGGCACTCAACTTTGCCTTCAAGGACAAAGTGAAGGCTGCCTTTAAAATGAAAAAGACCGACTCCTACTCCGTCAAGTTCACCAAGAACATTGCCTCTGGTGGTGCAGCAGGTGCCATGTCCCTGTTCTTTGTCTATTCTCTTGATTACGCTCGTACCCGTCTGGCCAACGACACCAAAGCCGCTGGCAAGGGAGGTGCCCCACGCCAATTCAACGGGCTCGTTGACGTTTATCGTAAGACCCTGAAGAGCGATGGAGTCGTTGGGCTGTATCGTGGCTTTGTCATTTCCTGCGTTGGCATCATTGTCTATCGTGGCTGCTACTTTGGTTTCTACGACACCTTGAAACCGATCCTGCTAAGCGAGAATGCTTCTGTCATACTCTCCTTCATGCTTGGTTATGCTGTGACTGTCACGTCCGGTCTCATTTCTTACCCAATTGATACAATCCGACGTAGAATGATGATGACTTCCGGCGAGGCTGTCAAGTACAAGGGATCTCTTGATTGTGCCGTCCAGATCTTGAAGAGTGAGGGTGCCATGTCTTTCATGAAAGGTGCTGGCGCTAATATCCTCCGTGGTGTTGCAGGAGCAGGTGTTTTGGCCGGCTTTGACAAGTTCAAAGAGCTCTACGTTGCATGGCGTATCGGGTAGATTGAGAATATGACTCGTTTAGGATTTAAAATATTTAGTTTGTAATGAAACACAGCGATAATTATTATTCTTGATGCCTTCTTTAGTTTGACTTTATTTAGCCACTTAATTTATTGATATGTTATTATTTGTAACATTAATTATTTATCTTGTAATAATAATTATACTAAAAAAGACAAATGGGAATGGGACTTTATGGTGGAAGTCTGAATAATGGAATAAAGATGAGGTGCCATTTTATCACCATCATCATGTCATGTGAAAATGAAATTAATGGGCATGCATGAATCAATCTAACCACACCCACTTCTCATGGGCGTGGCTCGTATCATTTATGTTCACAAGCAAACTCTGCAATGGTGAACTTTCCTTGTCCTTTGTTCCCCAATAATACTGGATACGAGGTAGGTGTATTATAAACTGGAGGTCCCATAGGACTACTTGTATATTAACTGTAACTTTAGCTCTCTGTGGTTGACATCAGAGTATCTGTATCTTGTTTCTCTTTACTTGGAAGGTGAGTTCATTATACATTAATTCTGCATGCATTTATGTGCTTTATTCCGTGCTCAAACAATGCCTCTACTTTCCTTAGCATTTTCGTGATTGGGCTGATATGGCTCTTCAAGAAATACAAGTTCTTCACACAGGTATCTTTTATGACAATAATACGTTAAGTATGATCAATTCCTTCAGAGATTGATCCTCTATCTTAGTATTGCTTCTCTCATCTCCTCCATTGCATACATTTTGGTAAGCTAATGTTAATATAGCCCACACACACACAAGTAGATTGTTTACATTTCTCTCTTTCAAACAACAGGGCAGATTCGATTATGGTAGTGATAACAAGCAACATTTATGTATATTTACTGGTTTCCTTCTTCTCTACTCCGGTATGTGGTTGAGATATGTTTTAAAAACTCTTTCATTACCAAGACTTTGAACAGATTGGTCAGTATTGCTCTCGACTATTGGAGTTACTGCAAACCTCTTCTTTAAAGTGACTTGTGAAAGGCTGTCAAATAAATATGAATTGTAAGCTACCTACAATGAATTTGCATTATTTGCTTTTTTCATCTTTTTTTCCATGATACTCTACCGTAGCATTTATGTCATGCTGTCATTCGGAGTACCTGTATTGTTTATATGGATCCCTTTCACTTTTGATGCGTATGGTCCTTCTGGTGCCTGGTGGTAAGTATTATATTAAATAAAGGCACCTAATAGATGATAGATAACAGATTGAAATTAAAACAAAATTTTATCGTCTTATAATTATTATTTGATATTATTGAAATGGTAATGTTTTTTTAAAAATCTTTAGTTGGATAAGGAACAAGAACGTCACTGATTGTACTCCCTTCATAAAGGGGAAGATAATACAGCTGCTGGTGTAAGGGAACCAGATTAAACTGTTATACTAATTATCCATTTTGTCTCTCATAGCTGGTACATTCCACTCTATGCACTAATACTCTTCCTCTTCATTGTGTATGTATACATTGCTGCCAGAGTCAGCTACAGGGTATGTGTAATGGACATGTACTGTATGGGTATCTAATGGACATATATGTACATACACTGTATGGGTATGTAATGGACATATATGTACATGCACTACATGTTAACACAATCACACATCCCTCATTGCTTTTAAAGGTTAGAACATGGCAAGGGCTCTATGACCCACAGGTGCAAAGGCAAAGGGTAAGTCTAACAATGGATTGAGTAGTAGTAGTATTATAGGCTCCTTTTGTTCTATTGTTAGATATTGATGAGAGAAGAGATCAAGCCACTAATGTGGTATCCTCTCATTTATTTCTTAGTCCAGTTGTTTCCATTCATCAATAGGTACACATCACATTTCATTCACATGCAGTAATTACAGCATTTGCAAAAAAATAGAAACTCTTGGCCATACTGTAGGCTATTTTCTCAAAAAAAATGTCTCCAAAAACACTACCAATTTTACTTCAAAATTCTTTTTTTACTGTTATAATAGGATAGTGTACAATGTTACTGATAATGCTTACATTGGCCTCTTTGTCCTCCATGTGTTAACTTCACCCCTGACTGGTAAGCAATGATAATCAGCACTCATTCATTCAATGTTATACACAATGGTTACAATGTGTTCCTCCTTTTAAAATCGTGTTATGATTTGCAGGTGTACTCATAGCCTTTGCTTATGCACTGGATAAGGAAACTTTAAAAAGACTAAACTGGAACTCGATAAAAGTGAGTCTCCTATAAACTACTCCATGTAATATTTTTAATATTAATAGTAATATTTTTAATATTGATAGTAATATTTTTAATATTAATAGTAATATTTTTAATATTGATAGTAATATTTTTATGAATAAGTACTGCCTCTTAATAGGCTAGTTTGAGATTCAGGAGTACCTCAAAAATTGTGACAGCGTATTCGGCTGAGGAAACATTTGAAGAGGAGTTAGAGGCAACCCCAAGAAGCACTTACTTCAGTGAAAGCAGCGAAGGAGAAGATGAGAATAAGAGACTCGTATCAACTCGAATCGATTAATGGACACCAGACTTACTTTATTCATTTTATCACTCATGATCTGTATCTTTTAGTAAATACCTGAGTTTTAACAAATCTAAATTGATCGTAAACACACAATTATTTTGGAGTTAATTTTTACTTTTTTTTTCAAATAGCAAAACCGGCATTAATTAATGTACTACAAACTTATTTCAATGCTAAGTATTTTTTGGAAAAAAAACATGAGAAAGCATGAATGCTTTTTTATTAATAACTAAATCAACACGACCTTTACCAATGATTTATGATACACCATGCAATCACTAGTTCCAAGTCCTCCTTTATGCTTTATAGTATATTCTCAGCATCCTCCCCCATCATATCAACGCCATTGACGTTATCTTCTTCAAGGCTAGTCTGCTGCTGTCTCCACATGTTAGAATAGACTCCGCCCAAAGACAGCAAGTCCTCGTGAGTCCCTCTCTCGCAGACCTCCCCCTCACTGAGGACTAATATCTGATTAGCGTGAATGATGGTAGACAGCCGGTGAGCGACTATAATGGTGGTCCTACCCTGACAGACCCTCATAAGTGAATTCTGGATATTTCTTTCCGTTTGGGTATCAAGAGCTGAAGTGGCTTCGTCCAGTAGGATTATCATCGGGTTTTTGAGTATTGTACGAGCAATGGCTACCCTCTGTTTCTCTCCTCCGCTAAGTTTTAATCCTCTCTCGCCGACCGTAGTATTGTACTGCTGTGGAAAAGACTTGATTCGTTCGTCCATGTCAGCATAATGTGCTGCTTCTTCTACTTCTCTGTCGTTGGCGTCTATCCTTCCGTAGCGAATGTTGTATCTGATGTTATCGTTGAAGAGAACCGTGTCTTGTGGGACCACGCCCAGTTTCTGACGCAGCGAGGCTTGTCTCACGTGACGAATGTCTTGTCCGTCAATTAGAATCTGACCATCCTATAAAGACTTATAATAATAGTACTGCACTACGTGTACATGTAATATTTCATCAAAAATACCATCTCAATCTTTATAATAATAAAAATATATATGCATATTTCTATACTAATTATCGACTTTGAGTTGATTTTAATTTTTTTTACAAATTTTAAAGTTGCTCAAAAATCGGGCCAAAATCCCTGCACTATAGTACAAGGGTCTCAGGCCAAATTTCACCAAAATTAAAAATGTGAGAATTTTCAATTTTTATAATAGTTTTTGATGCACATATATGTACTTATGCTGCATAGAAAGTTTGAGCTGATTTTGATCAAGATTAGATTATTTAAGAATTTTCAAAATTACTCTAAAATCGAGCCAAAGTCCCTGTACTATAGTACAGGGATGCGGGCCAAATTTCAGCAAAAATCGCTTGGTGAGAATTTTTAACTTTTATAATTTTTTCTGATGCATATACATGTACTTATGTTGCATAAAAAGTTTGAATTGATTCCGACCAAATTTGAAGTTTTTATGAATTTTTAAAGTTGCTCAAAAACCGGGCCAAAGTCCCTGTACTATAGTACAGGGTCACGGGCCAAATTTTGCCAAAAATCACTTGGTGAGAATTCTCAACTTTTATAATTTTTTCTGATGCATATACACGTACTTATGTTGCGTAGAAAGTTTGAACAAATTTTGATCAAATTTGAATTTTTTATGAATTTTTAAAGTTGCCCAAGAATTTGGTTAATAATCACATGAAGTGCTCACTTGGATGTCATAGAATCTGAACAGGAGTCTTATAATGGTCGATTTTCCAGCTCCAGAGGTACCAACAAGTGCCACAGTCTCTCCTGCTCGTACAGTAAAGGAGAGATCCTTTAGTATCGGCTTCTCAGGATTATAGTGAAAATACACTCGACGAAACTCAATGCATCCATCAGTGATCTACATGTAAAAAATAAAATAAATAAAAATAAAGTAAAAAAATTAATAAAATAATTTTAAAAAATAAATAAAATAAAAAGTAAAAATAAAAAATACAAAATAAAAGTGTAAAAAATAAAATAAAATAAATTTTTTAATGTACAAGTATGGATGTTTTTTCTCTCCCTTACATGCAATGGTGAGGCATTAGGATTGTCAGTAATCTCACATGACACGTCCAGCAGGTCAAACATGTTCTCCATGTCAATGAATGCTTGTTGAATCAAGCGATAGTAAGTACCAAAGAAATTGAGTGGAGCATACAGCTGGATTATGTAGGTGGCAAATAATACAAAATCACCAACATTAAGGACACCTTGATATACCCTATAAAATAAATCAATGTTATTTTCTATTGAAATAAAATTAACTTAATTATAAATGATAATTTTCCTATTATAATGTACACAGTAGACCTACCTATAAGCACATAGCATTGATCCCACCAGGAGACCAGCTGTTATGACGATGTTCTGTCCGGAATTAAGCAAATTAAGACTAGCAAGACTCTCCCACTCGGCACTCTGATAATTTAAAATGGCATCTCTGAAACGATCGCCCTCAAATTCTTCATGACCATAATACTTAACTGTCTCAAAATTGAGGAGTGAATCGACTCCTTTAGCCTTAACTTCATTATCTCTCTCGTTCATAATCCTCCGATACTTTGTACGCCACTCAGTGATCGATATTGTCAAGAGTAAGTAAGATACCATCGTTGTGAACACAATGAGACCAAACCAAGCGTCAAACGCTATTATGAAATAAATCACGGCAATCCCAATATCAACAATGGTTGGTAAAATGTTAAACAGAACATAGCTGAGTAGGTTATTGATGCTATCTGTGCCTCTATCCATTACTCTAAGCACCTCACCAGTCTTTCGCCCAAGATGCCAACGAAGCGAGAGACTATGTAAATGAGAGAAGAGACGGACCTGCATGGCCCGACTGGTATACTGCTGCACTTTGATCCACAGGAACGTCCGTAGGTTATTGGCAAAGCCCATACTACCCACGGCACCTCCTTGCAAGAAACGAAGTAATACGTAGATCAAGATGGACGCCAAAGGGAATGTGATCCCTGAGTTTCCTAATGTCATGCCGAATGCTAGATCAAGTGAGTCCGTTGTATTCACCTGAGGAGTTAGACCATTCACTATCTTCTTGTAATATATTGGCACGTAGAGATTGATGACTCGGCCAGCTCCGAGGATTAGAAAGCAAATGATGACGACTAGTTGTAAGAGGTAGTGTCCTTTAGGCCACACGTAAGGGAATATCAGTTTAGTCTTCTTCCAGAGGCTACCAAAAGCAGAACCTTGACTGCTCTTACGTTCGAAGCTACCGGATTTGCTGGGATCTTCGGAGCCTTTGGATTCCTTAACTGTTTCTTCCCATTCGTTTTCGGCATCAATCGGTACCTCATTGATTATCAAACGATTATTAAGAATCTTCTTAGAACCAACAAGAGGTCTCAGGATGCTAACGATAGTCAACAAGAGAAGGAGGGAAAGTCTAACGCAGAATAAAACGAGATCAGAAATATCAATTTTATCATCTAATCCCCACCACCACTCACTGCTTGACCAAGATACTATGGAGGCTGATAACCAAATGATGTTTAGCAACCAAAAGAGAACCAGAGATAGGCTGTGATGGAGACAGAAATAAGAGCTTAGCCTTTCCCTGTAAATCAATATCAAGGAGAAGAGCCAAGAGACTAGGCTTGTGATACATGTCACTAGGTTGTAACCGTACAAACGAGACCCATCCTCTAGAAAGATTCTAACTAGGAGTTCTGCTAGAAATGAGGCTGATATTATGAGAGTGGAGATGATCTCAAAGAGAAGTGCTTTTGAGTAGAGAAAATGGCGCCGTTTGTTCTTGTTTCCCTTTTTCTTTATCTCTTTTTTATTGGTGCAGAGGATAATGGTAGCCAAACCAAACACAATGAGTAGACCAGATGTGGCTAAACTACCAGTGATAGTGACAAAGCATCTCGAGAATCCAGCATCTCGCCATACTCTATTGTCTGTGTCACCTGGCTCACAGAAGGGCAACATGACTTTATCTTCTTCTTGTCTGACGGAGCAGGTGTAACATGAGACGTGGGGGGAAAAGGAAGCTGAGGAAGCAGCTTACAGCATAGTGATGTATGGTGGTATAATTATTGTCAGAATCTTCCGGGATTTTCAGCCATTGGGTGGAGCTGTCAGGCTCAGCAAGCTAGCTAGCTATAGCTGAGCTGATAATTTTTGTGTCAACTCGAGTGGTCATTCAGCATTTGTTAGCAAATACATTTACACCTGGGCTTGTTATTTCATTTCTTGCATTTTTCTTATCTGAAAGAAATGCAAACACTAGAGCTCCTATTTCTTTGCTATACCTTACATCACTTACAAGTTACAATGGAGTAGGACTAGATCATCTATTACAGAACTTACTATAAATCTGTTTGTTTAAGATTTGCATGATAGAAGAATTGTTATAATAATAATAATAATAATATCAATAATCATGATAATAGGAATAGATAATCACAGTCATATAGCATAGTATAGTATAAAGATGCAGAATAAAATAAACTCACGATAAAATAATTGAAAAAATAAGAATAAATAGATTGTTCCTACATTTCATTTCACATGTACGCTACTTTGAGGATGTTGCTGTCAGAGCTGGAGGTGTATAAAGTGGAAAATCAACAGGCACGATATAAGGAACAGGGAACACCCCAGTTTTGTGTTCGTAAGTACCAAACCACCAATTCTTGTCAACGTAATCCGTAACTTCAATTTGGACTTCTTTTTCAAACGATAGTTCAGATTGATCGGGGCCACCAAACCGCAACCTTGACTTGACTATCATCGGCAAAGGATTTGCTAGGACTATCTTCTCTGTTCTGTTCAGTGAGTAGACCTTGTGGTGCTCTATGAGCTCATTGATCGATGGGAACTTCTTGTCAAGTATGAAAAACTTGTTTTCGTCGTCAGTCAGTATTTTGAAGTGTCTAATTTCTTTGTCGTGCTTTACGGAGATCGAGAATGTGTTTTCTCCTTTTTGGCTCCCTCTGATGAGGTACGAGTGATTGAGCGGGTGCTCGGAGAGTAATTTTATAGCCTGCTCTCTTGTCGTGAATCTCAAGCAGCCTGGTATGACCTTGAAACGAATGAAGTTCTTTGGAACAAGCCCCACTTTTTGACAGAGGCTTGCCTTGGACCAGTTCTTCTCCACATTGTCCATGAGGACGATTAGATGAGCCCCTTTACGAAACTTTAGCTCATCTTCTCTCTCAGGCTCAAAATCAAACAGTGCAATCGCTTCCATTGCGTTAGGTAGAGGAGAAACAGAGAGGAGCCCCACCCTAGGGGGGCCACGCCTACAAATAGCCCCGATATATCCGATCACCTGAAAAGCTGCTAGCTTTAAAAAACACTTTTCCCAAATTACTCACACTTTTCTATCCTTCCTTATCCCCCGGCAACATGTAAATGAGCGAAAAGCAGTACACGTAATGAGATTGGATGGTCGAGTCTCTCGCAAAGACCGTCCTTGGCAAAAAGGACCTCCTGGTTGTGATGATAGAATTGCAGCAAACTATACACTGACGGTGCAGCGGGCGGTACATCCGCATGTGACATCATGCATTCTATAATTCAATTATAAAAAAAGAATTACTCTACATTATACTCCTTTTTATTTTAGAATAGCTTGCTGCTTCTCTCTTAAAACAAGCACCTCTTCCCTTCTTTTCAATTCAATCTCTTTCCTCTGCAAATCTTCCTCTTTCTTTCTCAGTATCTCTTCTTTCCTATGCAATTCATCTAGTTTCCTCTGTAATGACTCCTCTTCTTTTACAGCTCCAAGTACTGAAGGCGGAGTAGTCTTTTCTGTTCCTGCAACATTTGGTGGTTTAGCTAGTGGGATCTTCTCCTCCAGCAGTGACAGTAGCTGCGATAGCAATGGACGCTTCTCTGGCTAAATGATGTAAGACATGATAAGCAAAATGTAATCACTGTATAGTGTATATGGGTTGAAACAGTTAACAAGCAAAACATTGAGTGCAATTATGCATTGAAAATATGTGTGTATGTGTGTGTGTGCATGCTGAACTTTGACATGTAGCAGTTGTGATATTGTCCAGTGGAGGTCATCAGAATATTTGCTTGGAATCCTTGAGAAACGGCCATTGCAGACATACTCTGCCAACTTATACTGGGAAGAGGCCACAAAAGGAGGTCTATAACAATAAATAAGTATAATTTGTATTATTTAAAAAATAAAAGTACAATTATTAGCAATAGAAATATAATTATTATAATATTGCCATGCTTGCATGATTATGATCATATTAGGAGGCCCATGATAATAAATAATTATTTGTAATATTATGATCTTATATAGTGTGGCATACTTAAGAGCACAGAGTTCATACAGGAGACAACCAATCGACCATAGATCACTCCTGTGGTCATAACTATTGCAGCTATACTGCTCCTATCAATATGTTAGTAATGAAATCACATTCACATAGAATCCATGATCCCTTCTTCCTTACTGGGCTCATATAGTAAGGAGTTCCAACAAATGTCTTAGCTAGAGATGTGTTGTGGAGGATGCGAGCTAATCCAAAGTCGCCTAACTTCACTTGTCCCTCACCATCCAAAAACACATTTGCAGGTTTTATATCTCTATGCATGACCTTGAAGAGACACACAGTTGAATGATGTACATGCACATGTAGATAAAGGCATCAATATCATAATGTGTTAGAAAATGTGCATGAGAGAAAGAGAACCATAATGTATCAGAAAATGTAACTAAATTAGAATTGGGGATGTGCATTCCTGATACACTACAAACTGTAAAAGTGATACAAAGTATAGGAAGTCCTCTACTAAAATAGCTAGTATTTAGTCATCCATGCGTTATTTAGGGAGAGTAGTTCAACAGCTCCTTGTACCAACAACATGGGGTTACATCTGTAGGTACCTTTCCTCCTACGTTCTCCTTTGATCTGTGACATTCCTCCAATGCTAGTAATATCTGATGCATGACTTGCCATATGAAACATTCAGGGAGTAGCTTCCTACGTTAAACATGTTTGAATGATCGCGATGTCATGATAAAGATTAAAGGTTATAAAAAGTACCTCTGATGCCGATGCTGTGATATTAATGTCGCGAGATCACCTCCGGGACAATACTCTGTTATAATGTAAAGCATACTTTGAGATCTATCTATGATTCTTAAAAGAAGAAAAAAATTAAATGTCTAATTATTATTTATTTTGTATATATACCTGTCATAATATTGTACTATGTGCGTGTGTTTTAGCTCTCTCAGTAAATTGACTTCAGTTACTAGCTGCTGCTTCTCTGATTCTGTCATCTCTTTGTAGTTTATTTCCTTCCAAACTAAAACCTTATATATGTATGTATATATATAAAGAAAATTTAATGATTACAGAGCCTACTTTTCCATCACATATTCTCCTTATCTTCTTACACTGGCCAAAGCTACCACTTCCTATCATGCCAACTACTACATAGTCATCCAGTTTACCAGAAGGCATCTCATTAAAATGGCAAAGCTAAGAAAATTAATGGACACTTTCTTTCCCTCCAAAAATTATCCGTGACCATGGCAACAATTGACCACACCCACAATAATTAATTGATACTGATCATTTATTTTTATTAATTTTTGTTTTCTAGAGAGAGAGAGAACAAACTACACATCCATGATACATTTACAAGAAGTGATGAACAGAAAAAATAATTATTATTTCAAATTAAAAATAAATAACAGTCTCTTTCTTTATTTCTTAAAATTTATTTTGTGCTCATTTTTGCCCTCTGCATCTAAAAAAAATTAATAAAAAATACGCATAAATAAAATTATAATTCAAATTAATGAGGTGCCCACTAATCAAGCACCTACCCAGGCACAGGTGGGTGTAGTGGGTGTGACTTATAGAGAACACACAACGTGACCTACCAATAGAGACGCTGGTAGGTCACTAGGGAAATCCCCTTCTCCATTGGCGATGGACGGATTGGCTCCGTAGGCCATTAGTAGTGCCACAATCTCTTTCAGTCTTCGTCCAGCTGCTACATGTAACGGAGTATTACCTAATAACAACAACAACAATAACAATAATAATAAGAAGTGACAAAATAATTTATAAACAATTCATTACAAAAATTACACAGTTTGCAAACAGATTATATACGTCATTCAAACAAACAAAACAATAGAATCTTGCACACTATTTCTCTCTCCCTCCCTCTCTCTCTCTTTCTTTATACCAGAGAATGTCACTGCGTTCACGTTCACATTGTTCTCCAGAAGAAAGTTACAGACTTGGAAATTCTGTGCTTCTACTGCATAATGTAGTGCCGTACGGCCACTGCACGAGTCCTTTAAATAAAGAGAATGGTTGTTTTATATGGTAGCAGCTGGGCTGGGGTTTGGCTTACCGCCATATTCCTATTGGCTCCCATTTGAAGCAAGAACTTAAGGACATCAATACTGCCCTCTTTGGTTGCTACGTGAACTGGAGTAAGGCCTAATGGGGAGAGAGAGGATTAAAGTAATTCATAAAAAATCCAATCTTGTTTGGAATTAGCTCCAACTTTCTACGCAACATAAGTACGTGTATATACATCAGAAAAAAATTATAAAAAGAAAATCCTCACAATTTCATTTTTAGTAAAATTTGCCCAAAATCCCTGTACTATAGTACATGGACTTTGGCCCAATTTTTGAGCAAAGAAGCTGTCAGAGGAAAATAAAGAGAGGATATGATGAAGCATGAAAAATACCAAGTGGGAAATTGAATCGTACAAAGGGAGAATGGAGGGAGTGCCCAAAGTACTACATACACCACATTACTAGTGAAAGGCCTCATGCAATGAGGAAGAGGTTATGTGTACATACAGTACATGTGCATGTACACATTATGGTCCTAACAGGAAGCAATCAAGATCAACAATTAAATCAACCACATTACAGAGAACCAGACAGGAGCCCCCTAATCATTCAATTAACCCGTGATGACATGCGACACATAACAATAACAGAACAAAAGGCCAATAATAACATAAACAAAAAGCTAAACAAACAAATATCCCACCGGGGGGGGAGTACGGGTATTAAATTACCTCCAAAATTCCTCGCATTGTAATCCGGGGAGTGATTCTCTGCTTGTGAGAGAATCTGTAATATCCCAACATTCTTTCTTTGAGCAGCTAAATGGACACAAGTGTTCCCCTTGCGGTCAGGACAGTTAACAGAAGCACCAGCTTGAACCAGCAGGTTAACTAACATTGGCTGTGCAGTAATGACAGCTAAATGAAGAGGAGTCTGGAGAAAGGAGAAAGAGAAGAGAGAAGCAAAGAGAAAAGAGAAAGAATGAGATAAAAGATATACTCATTTAATACATGTTTAAATTACATCTTAGCTTTTAGAGATAGAAAGAAGAAGATAGGATACCCTTATTTTATACATGTTTAAATTACATGTACGTGTACATCTCCTTAGCTTACTTGTCTCAGATTGTTAGCAATGTCTAGGCTCATCGATACACCAGTAATGAGTCGAACAAGATAGAAAGTCAATGGAATGTTTTCCTGTATTATTGCCAAGTGAAGCGGCCTGGAAAAAGGAAAGAGAACATAACATTAAAAGTAGGAAATAGAAATGAAAGCAGACTTAAAAGGACCTTCCATCTTAATTAATTTTGGTATGTAAACAGGTTAAAAACACATACCTTAGGCTATACATGTAGCTGCATGCACTGGTGATTTTATTCAATTTGGCAAGGGATCTTTGACAAATAAATTAAATAATTATAACAAAGTTAAATTGAAATTAGCAAAGCTAAATCCCCCAATCCAAAACCTGTTTACATCTTTTGCAACTATTTGTACATGAAATACTTTTAAATGTTCAGCTACTTACGTGTCTCCATCTTCATCAGGCAGTATAGCCAAGTGAGCCTCCCCTACCTGTAGTAATGCATTCTGTCTGACTCCTCCCTCGGCATTAGACGTGGGTAGTCCCTCACTGGGCGGAGTCACAGAGGGTAACCTTTCCTCACTACTAGTCACTGTACTGTCATTAGTAGGGCCTGGACTGGCCCTGGGACTGTATCTATTCCTCAAAGGACTAGCTGATTCATTCCTCTTGAAGGCATTAACAGAGCCTGATAGCGTCAATGGCGGTTCATCATCATCATCAATGTCATGCACCACATGCAATGAGGAGGAGGAAGGAGAAGAGCTGCTCAAGTTATCTTTTTCAGCTGGTTCTCCTTGAAACAGTCTACCACCCGAGACAGCATTAGTAATAGTCCCTCCGTTAGCAGCTGCCAAAGCCGCCGCTAACATACTATTATACTGCTGCTGGTAGAGTAGTAGGAGGGTTGGGTTTATCAATGGGTAACTATTAGGAGTTATTGCAGTGGGTGGGGCCTGTTGCTTTGATGACGCCGAAGACGTAGGCTCCTTAGCAAGCAAGTCATTGATAGAGAAACTGCTGACGGTTTTAGTTTTAGTTTGTTGAGAGGACGAAAGAGGAGGAGCAGTAGGAGGAGATTGAGTGAGGGAAGGGAGAAGAGAGGAAGAAGAAACAAGAGGGAACATCAAAGGAAGGAGAGGAAGCTGAGGTAAGGTGACAGGAGAAGGAGCAGTGGAGGAGTTAGGAGAAGGTGAAAAGTGTTTCTTCTTAAGCAGAGAGGAAGGCTGATGGATGGTTGGTACCCGAGGAGACTGCTTGGTATGATTTGATAGTCCCTGTGGTGAAACACCTGGGGAATGAAAGAAGACACATAAAAACATCATTACTATGAGAAGGGAGTCATTAGGAGGACACACACTATAGAAACCACTTCAACACAGTTGTAGTACACATGATAAGAAGAGCATGCAGCAATGATAATAATTATAATATATCATTACTAATAATATCAAGACAAATGACTCTCATTCAAAATAGTCCCTCCATGACAGCTAAGCAATAAAACATGCACATGAATATATAATGCTATCATGTGTGGCCTATATAGTGACAATTAATACAAGGTACATGTACATGTACATGACTACAGGTACATATATGTACAGGTACATATATGTGCTAAACATTGAAAAGGTATCAACAGGGATATGCAAATGCTACTATGCTCAGTAGATAAACAATGATGATAGTCTAATGGCCTTCAAAGTTTCCCCTAAGCAGAGTCAGCCCAGCTAACAATTAGAATAGGAGTCAGGAGTGCATGTATGTGTACATACACAGTACAAGGAGAGTGCTGTATAAGCAGGTGTAATTGATATTTAGCTGGTATCAATAGCACGCATTGTTGGGGTATCTTTTCAGCTATTAATATCCTCTGGAGTCTTGCCCTACGTTGACTTAAAAGGTAAAAGGGTGGAAGGTGATGAGGCTTATATCATTATAAAGGTGTCACAGTACAGGACTGCTGACTGTAATAATGAAGATGATTATAGTGACATTCCCTTGCTATTTATGATTCTATCCCCTACCCCACACTCACCTACATATCCTCTCTCTCCCTTTCCCTCTCCCTCATTCTCTCCCACTCCCTTCTCCCTCCCTCTCTCTCCCTACAATTCACCCAACAGGTAGCATTCCCATGTAGACTGTAGTGACAATAGCAATCTAGTCACAACAGGTTTACAAGGAAACACAAATGTTTACAAGAGGAGATTATTCCAACCAATTCCCCCTTTACTCCCTCAACTCGAGCTGTAGCAACACATAGCAACACACACGTGAGTGGGTGGTGCTTGTAATAACATGCAAAAGCAACCAAACAAAGAGAGAGGAGGGAGAGAGAGGGGGGGAGAGAGAGGGGGGGAGAGAGAGAGGGGGAGAGAGGGGGGAGAGAGGGGGGAGAGAGGGGAGAGGGGGGGAGAGAGAGGGGAGAGAGAGGGGGGGGGAGGAGAAGTGTGACAAGCGTGTCCCAAATCATAACAGATCGGGAGAGAAAGAATGAAATAAAATGTAACAGCATAAGTTCCAAACACTGCATACAATAACTGTAACGAAACAGTTTTTGGAATAATAATAATTATCATTATACTGCCAAAAGAGTACACAAAAACAATAATAATAATAATAATAATAATAATAATAATAATAATAATAATAATAAATATTAGAATTAGGTATGGGCTACATTCTCCTCCCCTCAAGAAACACATACAAGGGAGAGAGAGGTCTCCCTAATGGCCTGCTAACAACAATCACTACAAGACAATCTACTCCCCAGAATGAGTCAGACATACATTAATATACACATACATACATACAGTACAAGCAATACAGTACAATTTATGGTACATAGAATATCCGCATAGTCTAAACAAGGAGCTGGAGTACACGCAGTGCTATTGAGGCCGACCTTAAATGAGAGACTGACACCTAGTAACACTTATATTGAGGGGAAAGAAAACACGCACTCTATCAATAGAAGGCTAGAGATAACACACGACAGAATGACACACACGGCCAGTCACCTTTTATCAATAACAGTGTATGGTTGGGGTGTATCCCCTCCACTACCACACAGAGTCAATAAAAGAGAGAGAATATTTTATTATAATAATAATATTAGAGTAAATGTCATTGGAGTAATAGTCTCGTGTGTGTGTGTGTGGAGGCTGTTTACTAATTCTGCACTTGTGAAGGCAAGAGTAAATAAATAGTCTTTTTGAAGCATTTTAATCAAAAGAAGCATCTCATAAGTTCTAATCAATTACACACCTTAACCAGACCATAACGATTGGAGTTATTCCGAGTGGGTGGACGTTATAAACAAATATTTAAAGGACAAGCGATAATTGGTTTAATATGTGGGCGGTGGTTTTAATATACTTACCAGCTGTTGTTTTAGGAATCTTTGAACTTCCTCTTGTCCTCCAGTTGGTCTCTTCTCCGCTCATTTCCTCATCCGAAGGTACTAACCTCTTCATGTTCACGGCCTCTGGCGGTCGCTGGATGTAGCTCTCTAAAAGATGATCCTCTTGAGCTGGTATTTCAACGCTCTGACCAACCGGAGGGACAGAGGGAGAATTAGAGGGAGATCTGCTCCTCCTTACTATAAAGAGAGAGAGAGAGAGAAACAGAAAGTGTATTACTAATGAGTTTGAATTGAATGACTAAATACATTTCCTCCTTAAAGAGGAAAGTATAAATCTCTAGTGATATTCAATTTAATTCTTATAATTAATTCTTAGTATAGAATAGAAAGAGCTGAGATCATCATCATCATCATTATTATTATTATTATACGCTGGCATGTAAACAGGATTTCCTGCACATAACACACATCTGTACTACAATACATGTAGATTCAATTACCATTGTACACAACATAACTGGCACTGCATATACATGTACATGTACATGCATATGCAAGCAACCAAACACTACTGAGCATTATTAATTGCTGTGCAGTGCTTAAATAATTCCCAATTGAAATGTGAATTTACTCTGCAACAGGTATTGAAAGGTATCATTGTACAGTAACTCAGTCCCAAATAAAAGAGATATTCCTACCATTATCCCCACAGACTGAAAAAACAACATAAATCTAATAATAATGATAATAATAATAATTCTCACTAATTAATTATCTCTGCTACTACGCTATAGTATACTATATGAAAAGATAGGATATCAGAAAGCATGAGAAATAGAAAGAGGAGAGACAACTCCAAATAGTGACATAGTACATTGTTATAGAATCAACATGGTTGCACAGCCTGGAACATGCATAGCTTTCCCTTCATGCATATGCGTCCTGTCTTCATGACTGGACTTGTCATTGCCATTATTACATTGTTGATTATTATTATTATTATTACATTGTATTAGTATTATTACAAATACAAGAGATCATTCATATGTGTAGGGTCAGGCGGCTAAGCATAGGGTCACAGGAACAATGATAGGACAAAAAGGAACAAACACTGACACATAATATTATACAGAGATGCATCATACATACATGGACTATTATGCTGACATAAGTATGTGTACAATGCATAAAGTATATTGGATTGAAAGCTCATTCACTGCTGCTATACTTTAGTCAATATGTGCATGTATTTTGTGTGATGGTTTGCAATTACATGCAGTTTCAGTTACAGAAAGAGCGGGACACACAGGTACACAGCAGCTGCAATCTCTCAACAAATAGCAACAAAAACATGCTCCAAACAAAAATCAAAAATAAAGAGAGATGAAAATGATAACTCACCATCAGTGCCAACTTCCATTGCTCCGTCTTGCACGACTTGCAACCGATCGCTTTCTTGCTGCATGTGAGAGACGCTGGAGGTCAAATGGCTCCCGGGAGAAGAGTGAGAAGGAGAGAGAGACGGTCGCTGGAGAGTCTCGAGATTAATGGAGTCAATACGCCTTGCAATTTGAGTGGTGGGAGAAGGAAGGACAAGAAGAGAGGAAGGGTTAGGCGAGGGTAGAGGGTTGTTGAGTATCTTTCTCTTTCTTGATGCAGAAGTATCCAGTTTGGTTTGGTGATGATAGTAACCAGTGTTAGGAGCTCCTGGTGATACTTGCGTTCTTATTACCTCCTGGACTTCCTCTTCTTCAGGCTCTGGGCAGCCTCTAGATATCAGTCGCAATGGAGTGGCAGGTGCAGGGCTGGCTCCACTGCTTATAGTGCTCAGATACCGCCTCTTGTCAGGGGACGAGGCAGACGATGGGGAGAGCCGATCCTGGCTACCCCCCTCTCGATATAAACTCCCTTTGTTGAGCTGTGACCTTTCCATTTAGTTCCTATCTAGTGAATAATGAGAGTGTCCTTTTTTTCTAAAACTACCCGCGCTTATACCACAACTACACAGACTAGGCTCCGACTTTAGGGAGAACACCAAGGGACAGCACCAGAAAGGGACAGTACAGAAAGAGAAAGGGGAACTCCCTACTTTTTCTTCCTCGCCGGCTTTGTCCCTAATAGAGATCACGTGATCCGCACAGCCCTTATTTGGCAATACCACAATTTGCAGCATGGTCTTATGAACATTATACTATAAACAACTACAACTACTTTCATAAAATTAACAAAAAGAATTGCCATTTTTCTTCATCTGATGAGCTTTGTTAATTATTTCATTGCCCAGAAAAAAGAAAAAAAAAAAGAAAAAAAATTGGCGTGTGTGTATGTGTGTATGAGGCTCTGTATGTATATGTTACTATTTAAGTACATGTATGAGGCTCTGTGTGTATATTACTATTAAGTATGAGGCTTCATGTATGTATACACAATTGCATGATAAGCTCTACAGATCTATACAGTACCAATGGCACTCCCCCACAGACTACCAGTACTCATAGCGTGCACTCTATGAGGAATGGTAGCCAATGGAAGTGTGTCACCAGCACTGTACAAACCTGTAATGTAGTCTGAAGCTGTGTGTGCATTATAATGTAAACTCTGTATGCATACTATATTAGACAGAGTGTACGTGTACTGTACTTACATGTAATTGCATGCCACTGAAGCCAGCCACGGCTTATAACCTACCTAGTGCCTACAAGAATACCTACCAAAGAACTTACAAGAAAGTCTACAAATGCGGTTTCGGGGATTCGAACCCGGACCTTCTTGCCTCAAGGCCGGGTCCACCCCCGTAACCACTAGGCCACGGCGCGCTTGCGCAACAGCACGTGATTTTTCCACCTACACATACTAACAGTCATTACAATACTGCATTATATACACTGTAAACGCTTTATAGCCATGTACTACTGATATAATTGAACTTTTAACGCTTCTAGATAGAAGTAGCTTCTTTGTATCTATGTTGTAACTTAGGCTAGAATCTTTAAAAGCTTGGCAAGTTTAGTTGGTTACTTTTCCAAAAATCTGCACCAAGTAAACCTATTAAAGCCTTGCTCTAGTACTGTAGAAGGTTCTCAAAGGTTTCTCTGGCTAGAGCTACTATAAAATTAACACACTGCCTCCTAGTGTAACATCATTAAAGCCTAACTTCTTGAGCACTCCACCTTACTAGATCTGCCCTAGACCTAGTCCGGCTCCCCGAGACTGTCCAGGGTTCCTGACAGGACTCCAATCCCCAAAAAAGCGACCAGAGTCTTTAAAGTTCAAAAGGATAGAGCCTAGCAATTCAAATGTGTGATAATGTGATGGATCTATGGCAGAAATAGTCATAAACCTCGAGAAAAAGAGAAAACCAAGCTTCCTGAGTTCTTCACTGCCACTAGGCGGTGCCATAGCTTAATTGAACCACACCCTTTTGTGGTTATAAAATTTATTAATAAAAGCACAGTTAAATGAGATACTAGGAGATATCAGCTAGGTTCCTTTCATTTCAGCTAATACTTCAGCTATTTCAAATTGAATTTGGTGGCACCTGCATGAATTAATAAAGTGAGAGAGCAAAGTAGGGAAATTAAATTATCTCACACACTTAATGTTTTGTAGAAAGTTTCCTTTCCAATTAAATTTTTTTGAATTACAAGCATCTGACACAAAATTTGCCAATTTTAAACAAAATTCTATGGCATTCTCCAAAAATTGAATATAATAGACTCCATTATTTATTATTACTTGTGTTTGCTGTTCTCAAGGTGCTTTAAAGATGCCAGCATTGTCTCAATCCATGTCACAGTAGTGCAGAGATCAGTCGTATAAGTAAAGTCATCATGTCTGAGGCTTTTCTCAAATTCTTTTGTCATTTCATTCAGTGTCATATAGTTATTTTCGCGCTACAAGAAAAATAGAAATACATTTATATATTAAATACTAATGATTAAAAATACATTCTTAGCAAAGGCATGTATACTACAAGTACAAGGGGGGGATTTGTTAATAATTCTGTTACATCTTGGCATGTAAACAGTGATGAATGGAATTACTATTGGCAGTGTAGTTCAGCATACCGATTACTACAAATAGTAAATTTAATAATACCTTTAAAGAAGTCCCCCTATTACATTACCAATGTCACTCACTTGCTTCTTAAGCATCTCCATAACATCTTTGTGCTGCTTGTCAATTACTGCTTTTTTCTTACTCTATGTTCATCAAAAATCATCATTAATATTGTTCATTAGCATAATTATTTATGTACAGTACTATTATTATTTAGTACCTGGATGAGTGCTCTTTTTTCTGTCATTTTTTGTGCTTTGAATTTCGTCGTAGTTAGATGAATATTCTGTAATTAAAAAATTAAAATAAGACTTGCTCTCTTTACTCTCCCCTCTCTCCCTCTTATTCTCACTGCTATGAGGACACCAACAAATAGATTAGTGAAAATGTAGTGACCGAGAAAGATGAAGATGACGGTGAATATCTCACTACCTACAAAACCGTGAGCTGTCAGTTCTTTCTGGATAGGAAGCCACCCATCAACCTATATGAATGCAGTTCACAAGAATGGTGCAATTATTATACCATCTAGAAACAGTATTACATCAGTAATTGCATGTATTGAATGTTATTTTGAAATAGAATAATTCAATTTGTGAAGTATGTATACTTCTGTACTCACGGTCATATAAGTAAACAATGTCAAAAGGGACCGTCCCAAGTTCCCCCAGTTTGTTTCGTCTCCGTTTGTCTCATAGCCAAACAGGTAGTAGCCAATAAGAGCGAATATGAACATGAAAGTCAAGAGGAGGAGGAGGAGATTGAAAGCAAAACTTTTGATGGTTTTTACGAGAGACTTGACTAGTAACTGAAGACCTTGGGAGAGCGAGATGAGACGAAGAGTCCTCAAAGGTATCAGAGCTAAAAATTAAAAATAAATTTTTTTCATTATATTTATATATTTAATTAAATAAATTATAATTTATTTTAAAATTACCTTTAACTACTTGTAGGAGAGCAAGTTCATTTTGTCCAAGATTCAAGTACAGAAATATCGAATCGATTATTGCAATGATGAATATGATAAAATCAAATATGTTGTAATAGCTCTTCCAGTAGCCGAGAGGCTCTGCATAAAGTTTGATGAGAAATTCCATCAGATAAATACCTAAAAATATTTGATTCGTCAACAGGAAGAAGAGGGGAATGGTGTCTTTGAGGTAGCTGGTTTCCATGGAAATCGTCGTAGCGTTGAGGAATATTATGACCATTATAAACCAGTTAAAAGCAGAGCTCTATAAAATGTCAAATTATGCATACATTTTCACAAAATTACTTTGACAGTTAAGATGACAAACTGGCGGAACTCAGTTGCATATCTTTTCAGTGTTGCCTTTATTTTGTTCTCTTGCTTTTCTTCAATCCTTTATTTATTAGTTATTATTATTATATCAATATTATTGATGAAACTTACTCATAAGAAGCTAATGATTCAGTCTCTGGCGGTCTAATAGTGTTCATTCTAGTATTCATCATGATTGCAGCTGCAACCTGCAAGTAACTGTAAAACTACGGATACTAATGCCTACTAGTGTAAAATACGGAAACCACGTGCTATCATGCTTTCAGAGTAACCCTTCCCATCCCCTTTGGTGGCCCATAGATATTATAACAGGTCCTTGCAATTTCGGCGGGCAATCAATCTATGTTGTGTGCAGTGCAAAAATGCTTTACAAAGCCGTTTGTTTCCTGCTACTAGTGTCTTTAGTTAATGCTCCTGAAATCAATGAATGTGATGTATCAGATGCAATGCTCTGTCCTTTGTCTTTAAGTATCTACCCTGAGAACTTGCCTTTGCAATGTTTTGAATGTTCATCTCTGCCGGCTCAACCCAATCCAACCTGTTTATGTGAGTATCTACAGTTTAAAGCAAATGTCACAGATTGCAATAACAAAACAATAGAGTGGAAAAATGACTTAGATGTATGTATTGATGGTTTTTGTCAAACAGTTGCTGTTAGATCAGTACGCAACAATGGCCCACAAACCTCTTATGAGTTGTTAACATGCCTTACTGAAACAGCTACTGTTGAAATGTCTGTGAAAACAACTGGATTTATAAATGCTAGTACTAATGTAGATTTAAATGTTACAGTAGAATGTGACAGTAGAGTGTGCAGTGCCGATCAGAAATATTGCCCTTTTATTGATAATGCTGATATCAAAAAAAATAATACTTGCATTGACAATGAAACTATGCAACTGTGTGCTGATTGTCCAGTAGGCAGTGGAGTTCCCATCAACATAATCAATACGTGTGTCCAGTGTGAAAATTATCTCTCAGATTTATTGTATTTTGTGCTGATAGAAATAGCACCGATAACAATCATAACTTTACTATTAATAGTATTGAATATACAAATCACAGATGGCTTTCTTCATGGCATAGTATTCTACTCTCAAATAGTATCTCTTTTCTATTTTGATGATCCCATCGGAAAATATCAATATATGTTGGAGGAAAAATTCTATCTAATACCATTACTGCCATTTAGCATTTTCAATCTAAATTTTATGCCTTTTCTTTTCAACTATCCATTGTGCATTGTACCTCAGATGTCACCTCTTTCAGTAATTTTCTTTTGGTATGTGATAGGATTCTATCCATTGCTCCTCCTCCTCTTATTCTATGTTTGGATAACATTGTATGATAAAGGTTACAAGTGTGTAGTATTTATTACTAGACCATTTCATCGTTGCATGGCTCGTTTCTGGAATATGACTGGCATTGAACCATCTTTTACTCACTTTATAGCATCAATATATATACTCTGTTTCACTAAGTTAGCTTCCATTTCTTTTAAGATATTACGTTTTAATTCTGAAAATGGTAATGCTCTTTTCTTTTATGATGCAAAGCAAAAATACTTCGAAAATTTTCATATAGCGGCTGGTTTATTTGCTATCCTTGTTCTACTACTTGTAATACTCCTACCAACACTTTACATACAGTTTTATCCATTTAAATGGTTTCATAAGATGTTGAATTGCTTACATTTGAGGAACCAGCTACTACTATCACTGGGTGATGTGTTTACTGGACCTTACAAGAATGGTTCTGAGAAAACAAGAGCAGATTATCGCTACTTTGCTGGATTTTATCTTTTTGCAAGAGTCCTATGTCAGAATTTTATATTTTTAGAAGCAACCCTAACTCTTAGACCAGCTCTTTTCACTCTATTGGGAGCAATGATCTTGATACTTCGTCCTTTCAAAATTACTTATCAAAATATCTCTGAATTTATAGTTTTATTGTTTTTGATATTATTAAGTGCAGCTTATTATGTGACTGAGATCCAAATATTTGTATCACTTGTGTTTAGTGGAGTTATTTTTAATACAGCTATTGCTTTGATTGTGTATAGACTGATATCTATTCACAATCATTACTGTAAGCAATACAAAGGAACCCCAGCCCCACAAATGGATAGAGAGCCAGATGATGACCAGCTTATAATTGAAGATGAATGGAATCCTGATCGAATTGAGAATCCACAAGAATATGATGAACAACATGTTCCTGTTGTAGTATCTCTAGAAGATCATTGCAATACTCAAGATACTAACGCTGCTACATATGGTAGCATTAGACAGGACACTTTAGTTTGATAAATTGACCATTATTGTGCAATTTTTTATTGTGCAATTTTTTTTACTTTGCACTTGCTATTGTTTGCAATTTTTTATGATTATTGTTGTTGTTGATTTTAAATGTGCATTCATGTAGGTGGTATATAGTTAGTGAAATGCTGTGAGTTTTTAAATTCCATGAAGAGAGAGAAGAGGACATGAAGCGAATGGATTCTGTTTCCACGCACTGGAATATCAAGCAAACCTATCAAAAATAACAAAGGAATAATAAATATTTATAATCTGCACTGACATACCACACATTATGTCTACAAATTCCTCTAGATTACAATCAAGCTCAGCATTAGGTAGGCCAACCTTCAAGTAATAAAATACATAATATCATTATAATCATTTCAAAAATTGTGCGTGTCACCCACTTCTTTTAAAGATTCTACAAAATCTGAAGGCCATTCTTGCATCAGTGTTTCAATGTCAGGCATATTTCTATTATAAATATATTATAGTGTAATTATATGCAGCAATGAAAGCAAATCAACCTTGTATAATGAACATTAGTGGCTGGTTTTTGTCTGTGTAGCTCCCTGTGGAAAAGAAGAAAGAGTTGCTTACATGTAAAAATGAGAAACCTTTCTCTGTCTCACTTGATATTTTCTATCCAACTGTCTAGTGTCTTGCTTTCTGCTTCTGGGTTTTTGATATTATGCACAGGCTGAATAATAATAATGATATTTATTTATTATTAATTTCATTTATTAGTCTTACTGCTGGTTTTTCCAGTGACTGCTTTGCATGTGTCCTCAATTGTAAGTCTAAGACATGTGGATCTGATTGTTTGGTTGAAGGCTCATCAAGTACAGTCAATCCCAATCGGTCACCAGCTCCATCAGGCCTTGTTACCTAAAATAAGAGCTACCATAATACATAGAACTATTATGATCAAAGGCTGACTTTAATGAAAGCATCAATGTCTCCAATGGCAGGTATGTACTCCGGTACAAAGGGAATCAGACGACAGTCAAGATTAATGTTTTGAGGAGTGTATCTGGATATGTGCTTAAAGAGCTCTCTGATCTCAGGAGAAACTTGTAAATTTTCATATTCATTTGGATCATAGCCACTATAATAGAAGGGAGAGAGAGAGAGGGAAAGTGAGTTTTAATATGGACATATGTGTACATGATGTAATTAAAGTTAACATACCCAGTCAATGTTTGTTGTATTCCTCCATTATCTTGCTCCTCCTCGCTCTCCTCTTCCTCGTTGGTCTCTTCATCTTCTTCCTCATCCTCATACATCATGCCTGATGCCTGCGGGACACTACCATCCCTTGGATATTCCACCCCTCCATCCTCTTCCTCTTCTATTCCTACTTGGAACTGAAACATGATGGAGTCTGTGATTGATTGGTCTAACCTGACTGTGGCTTTGACATCCTGGGGGTTGGATTTGTACTCACTACTTCTTCAGCGTCGCTTACTTCAACGCTCTCGTCGTAAGGCTGGTTCTGTAGCAGCTTAACCTGCCAAGAGACTAAAGTTATTGGCTTGTTTGTGTGCGCTGGAGGGAGGCGAAACCACACTTACCTTTCCTGGGTCCATATTTATTAGCCACTGGTTGTCATGGAAACTATCAGTAAGACCCGCCCACAAATAGCATCACGTGATCTCTGGTTTAGGTAGTTATTAATGATTAACTAGACCTAGTCACGTGATTTGTCGTTGCCGTTGGTAACCATATCGAATAACTGAATGAGGTGCATGGTCCCATTGGTCTGCAAAAGGAGGAGCTGTAGATAATGGAGGTGGATGAGAGACTTAGGTGGCTTGAGTCGCGTGTAAATTCCTCTCTTCGTCCAAAAGGCGAGAAGTTGAGGACTTTCTTTGCAGACAGTGATAACAGGTTATAAAAACAGAAGCTGAAGGCATGCCCATACTCACAGTATTCCATTCCAGGTTAAGGTTTCTTGATTTCTGTAATAACAGTGAGACACGTCATCTTTTCGTCCACCTCCCCACCGAGTCAGAGGAAAGTACAGGTGCATGTACTCTCCGAGTATCGCCACACCCTCCAGACTCCATTCACACTAAAGCGCTGTTCTTCATAAAGAACACTCACACCTCGCGTCTCAATAAAGAAACTATAGGGAACGAGGTTGTATGCAGCGAGTGCTCAGAGGATCCAATTGAGCATCTTGAGCTGGTACTGAGGGAGGTGTATCTTCCATTACTGGCAGAGCAGAAGGAAGGAGCTGCTGCTTCATCTGCTGCTTCTGCTCAAGGAATATCACCAGAAAGAATAATGGACATATTGCACAGAATGATCAGTAATATACAGGTACATAAATAAAATTAATATAATGATGATGCATCAAGTATTATTGTTAATGATTATATACTCTTTAGATAATAGCCCTTTTCACACTAGAGTGGTTTCGAATTAATGCGCATCAATCTGCATTTGTCAGGCCCCGCCTGACTACATCATTCTCCGCCTGACTACATCATTCTCTCACTCGACCTCCTTGAGGTGATTGTGTGAAGTGATGCAGTACGATCATTGTAAACCTATGGCAATAAGAACACAAAATGATACATAATTCAGCTGCTAGTGTGAACAAGATAAATGCGCATTATTTCAGCTGTATCAACAAAGTGCTTTAAAAACTGTACAAGTGCGAAAGACCTGCATATACATGTACATGCTTAGCTTAAACCAAGAATACTTGCTTATAACCAAGAGTACATTTACTCAATGCATATACATGTATATTAATAGTGTGCATTGTGTTCATTAGGTCACTCAGGGCCATCTTTCTGGTGATTTGGTCTTACCCATACCATCACTTGATATACTGGTAGAAGGAGCTGCTAGTAGCAATAATGAAAGAAGAGCTGTTGTGGTACACATCATGGAGTCGTGCGTAATCTCCTGGATGAAACAAGTCAAAGTACGGGCAGTTTAACATACTATAGTAACACATACACAATATGTCACTAGTCACTGAATATTCTCCATTGTTTTAGATGGCTATGCATTTCGATCCTAATGGCGCCATTGCAAAGTCAAATGGTAAAATGGCTGGCCCTATCGCTGAAATTAAAGTGAGTACATGTACATACATGCAGTATGCTGGTATTTCATTTTTATTTCAAACTTTTAAATTTATCTTTTTTTTCCCTAGTATTGGGAGAACAGATATCAGCAATTGCTATTAGTTCGTAATCAGTTAAACTCAGTTGAAGTGTTACGCATTCTTAACGGACTGGAACATGCAAGATCAACTTATGCTGATGCATTCATTGATGTACATAGGGACATGGAAAAGGTGCTTCTCTAATATTTTACTCTTTTTAATTTCTAAAATCTCCTTTCCTTTCTCCTTTATCTCAATCTCTATTACAGTCAATCATTGATACTGAGCTGTCCTTAATGTACATCAGTACATTAAAGCCATTGTTCCTAAAGTTAGAAGGAGCATTCTCTCCAGACACACTAACTGATCTGTTTCCATCACTGGTGACAACGCTATCTCTAGTTTGGCAACACTCAAAGTAAAGAAAAAAACATTAATTTACATATTATATGCTACATTAAAAGCCTGTACACATAGAAATTCCTTTAATATGCATAATGTACATGTACATTCACTATTATTATACATGTAGGTTTTTATGTGAAACTTTTATCAATAGTATTATAGTTTTATTTGTCATTCATTTGCCTATACAGGGTTTATGCTCAGAGTGCTCACTTCAGTCGTCTTCTGCGACTAATATCTAACAAGCTAGCATTGAAAGCTAAGGATATAGTAGGAGTGGATCCTCTGGAGAACCCAATAGAGTCCTGCGTCTGCATTAGACAAGCATTGAGGATATGCTCTGCATTCAGAGGATATTATTTGGACAGGAGGGACGTAGCTGAGAGAGTGATCGGACAGAATAAGGACAGGCTGAACCAGATACAGCAAGAGTCAATTCATCAAACACGTAGCAAAGAGAGGTAGTTTTATATACTTGCATACCTTTTGAAATCTTTCTTTTATTCTCTTTCTCTTTAGTACATGTACTTTTGATCAGGACTCTGCAGTTGGTGATTCCAGTATTGTTAGTTTCTCTAGACAAGGACATCATTGTAAGTATAACATAAAATGATAATAATTATAAAATGAAAGACATACAAAATGTAATAATACTTTTATTTTTTAATTGCTTTACCAGCAATAGACTATCCCTTGTGTTCATGGCCGCCACGCAATTCTCCAGTGTTCACTAGTCTTAACAGTACACTGGAGAGATGCAACGATCTACTGGAACTGGTACAAACCATGGAGCACTTCAGGTATACTTATAAATATTATTATATATTGAGAGGGCTCTAAATCCATTAATTCTTATTGTATATATTCTATATTTAGTGAGTTGGCGCTAGTTGCTGCTCAGGGAAGCAGTGAGGGTAAAGATCCAATACTGATTGATGTGTATCATCAGTTTCAAGTAACACTGGACCACTTTAGGAAGTCAACTAAAGTAGGTTGTCACTCCAGTTTACATTACTAGAAATACCACGGTTGCATTTATTTGTACATTATTGAATTAACGCGATTGTGCTCTTTGCATATGTATATAGGATCTTATGAGTCTTGAAGAGGTTGGATTTGAGAAGAGTTTCTTTGTATTTAGATCATCAGTAAAAGTAATGAATATATGTAAATAGATACATGTACATGTATGTATTACTATTACACATTAGGAGTTGGAGGGTCGGTTGTCTCAAGTCCTGTTCTGCTATTTTGATGATTGTTTGTTGTTGGAGCCATCACTAAGACTACTGGAATCATTTCAAGGACTTATATCAAGAGAAAGCATTCAAGTAAGGAAGGAGAAAGAGAGAGAGAGAGAGTATATTTAAAACAATAGCACTGTGGAACCTCTATTAAATGAACAGTCTATACAGTATGGATTGTAATTGGTGCATTAAGTTCTACAATGGAGGTGTCTGCTATAGAGAGCATTAACATTATTTTTAGTATTTTAAGTTTTATTTCACATGCTCTTTTTCATGCATTCTATATAGTCTGTACTGAGTCCTAAGCTTGAGGCAATCATTGATACCATTCAAGCTGACGTCACTCAAATAAAAGATTGCATGACGTCTTTTGTCACCGATCCTCCCCTCATTCCCAACACTCCAGCCACGCCCTCAAAGTTGCTATGGTTACGGGCTCTGAGGGAGCGTATGGACGTCCCAATAGAGAGAGTAAGAGAAGCTGCTCCGTATCTACTGCATGGAGAGAAAGGATTCCTGCTGAGACACGCTCATAGTAAAATAATAAAAGCAATAGAACAGTAAGAATGAAGAGAGAGAGAGAGAGAGAGGAGGGAGGGAGAGAGAGAGAAAGGGTGAGAAAGAGATATGTGTACATATACATGTATGTATATTCAAGTGTACTTATAAAGATTACTTAAGTATTATGAATAATGTGTGGGCATTTTTAGGCAATGGAACAGTGTTGTGTCTTCATGGAAGAAATCAATACCAGAAAGCATTGACAATGCACTATTATGCACCTTATTGAAACAAGTAAGTAATGTACATGTACATACGTGTATCACTGTAGTTGCATATAATGCATTCATTGATGATTGATTTCATTTTAAGGATAAATCATCTGGTGAGCTTCAAGTCAACTTCAGCCTATCACTGGAGAAAGTATTAAGAGAGCTCCACTATATGAGGGGGCCATTGCTATCAGTCCCTGTACCTCAAGTAATAAAGTAAGAGCTGTTCTCCATGAGAGGGTTAGAGCAGCTGGAGTAGCTGTTACCATCTTGTCATGTACTGTAGCCAGAGTGTACTGTAGCTATTGTATTTGTGCATTCCTTTGGACATCACACCCACACCCCCTGCTATGCAAGTGTGCCCCATGATGATATGAAGATGTTTTTATGGTTTATAAGCACAGTTTTTATGTAATGCAAAGCTGTAATGGTTACATTGTAAGTCTCTGAGAGAAAAGAATTTTTGGATGGGATGAAAGTCCCTACATGTTATTGATGTTTATTGTTTAATACTTTTCTTTAACCTTTTATGTTTTAATTATTTTAATGTACAATGTATAATGATAGACAAAGAAGAAGGTTTATGAACCATAATCTCCTTGTCTCTCTTAGTTCTCTATCAGTGACACTCTCACCACACACTCTCCACCAGTACAGGGTTAGCCTTGAGGTCTACATGAGGCAGTACAACTCAATGCAGGAGACGCTCGACACTGTTCATAAAGGACTCTTCCAGCAAAAACTGTCACTACTTGATAAAGTAAGAACAATTCTATGATATTGACTTTAATTATATTTCTATGCTTTTTATGATTATGTATTATGTATCCAAAGCTGAAATTTTATTCAAAAAATAAAATGTGATTACTGATTAGCCGTATAGCAAAAACTAAGCCTCAGAATAATTTTCCCTTATTTATACAGTGTAATGTGAATGTTGTATTTATTGATGATTCTCTCATTCCAGTTGTTAGAGGAAGGATTGGGTCAATTGAACTGGCTCAGTGTTGAAGTCCCTGATTTCTTAGCTAAACTGAAGGCCAGCCTACAGACTGATCTCCTCCCTGCTGTCCAGTGTGTTCTTCAACAAACCGACAGGATTAGAAGTATCACTGGATCATGGACCGACCTAGTGACACTGGACATGTTTAGAGACACTGAGAGAAGCAGCCTTGATCTATTAGCTAATATGTACAGGTAATAGCAGCCAGCTTATGCACATGATTATAATGTTCACTATAAGTACATATACATATACATGTACATATATAAATTCTTATTTTACACTTGTATTTTCATATACATGTACATGTACATATGTTGGTGAATTTGACTGCTTATTGTTACATAGTGAATTGGTTGAGATAGCAAAGAGAGTCCTATGCTCCTCTATGATACAGATTGAAGGATTATTTAAGAAGGCATATCAAGTAATGATCACTATGCATGTACATGTACATGTACATGTACATGTACATGTAATATGTATTTTAAATTTCTCTCTTTAGCGTGTTGAGGTTAGCTGGGATTCCCCTGCATGGTCTGGCTATCTGTATTATCTTGATTGTTTGGTTGTGAAAGGACTAAAGCAAATGATCCTTCATTCAATGAATACACTGATATCAAGGGCACAGAAATATGAACAAGTATAACAATAATAATAACAAAACTAGACTAAAAGAACAATCTCTCTTTTATCCCTCCCTTTCTATTTCCTATTCCCTTTTCCTTTCATATCTTTCTTTTCTTCTTTCTACCTCCATCTCTCCCTCTCTTTCATCAGGGTGGTTCCATTCCTCCAATGGTTACTGTATCTTTGGAATTATACGAGAAGGACATAGAGTTCTCTCCTCCTCTTTCCGCTCGCTCCTCTCTCCCCTCTGTCCCAGAGAGGATCAAACAATACCTTGAAGGGTTTGTGTCCCTTAGTAAGAGCCTACACTCAAGATTATACCCACTATCAACTGAGGTGAGAATCGTAATAAGCACATGTACATGTAGCTGTATTTTATTATTGAAAAATTGCATTTAAATGTACTTAATGTACATTATGTACACAGAGTTATTATCAGCTGATGAGTTCTGATCCTGAGGTATTGGGTAACTTGCAAAAGATAACAGCTCATGTAGAGACCAGTGCTAGACAGTGCCAGGTATAGTAACACATACATGTACATGTACATACATTATTATATTTAACATTTTTTATTTTTTATTTTTTGCAGTCTCTTCGTAAAAGGTTCTCTCAGTACAGCTTCCTATGGGAGCAAGACGTCCTGGCAACGTTTGACGATTTTATTAATGGGGTGGGGCAACCACACCCACGGAGATTCACACGTCCGGAGACTGTGAATAGATCAAGATCTGCTAGTGCTAGATCAAGAGGGTAAGGGGAAAGGGAAGAGAAAGGAAGAGAGAAAAGCTAAAAATCATATAGTCTACATTTCACAAGTTATCTTTTAATTTTACTTCTCATCACTCCTCACATCACACTTTTTTCACCCTCTTCCCTCGTTTATGGAATTCTCTTCCACCTGTAAAAATCTCTCTTTCTAAAGAAACTATTAAATTACACGTAAAGAAAACTTTTTGGAATCACTTTATTGTTCATTTTGACCCTAATAATGTTTGTTCTTATCACTATGTATGTCCTTGCTTTTCTTGTGCCAATCTTCCTGTAAACTCTATGTATTCCTGATTTGTTTATGTTAGTAGTTATTTCATTTTATTTTTATTTTTATTATTTCCTTATTTACTATTCTTATTTTCTCTTTTTTTTTCTCTCTCTCTATCTGTTTAATCTTTTTTTGTTTGGCGGTCAGCTCAGGAAGCTGGCTGTCCATCTGTATACATTTGTATACAGTAAAGTTATTTAAAGTTAAAGTTAAAAGATACTAACTACATACATGTACATACATGCACATGCATGTACATGTATGTTTATTTTTTAATTTCTGCAATACATGTATAACATTACAATTTTCTTTTTGTCCCCATGTACATATACATACAGTCATTCTGCTGCTCCACCTCCTATGTCCAGTCAAACAGCAAGCAGTGTACTGGAGTCAGTCACTGGTCATTCCGATTGGGAGTTCCTCAAACCGGACAGACAGTATTCTGCTCCACCTTCTTCTTCTCCTTCTAATACTCCTCCGTCCACGTCTCGGTCTTCCTCGAGCTCAGAGACAGGACTCATTAAAGATGGGAGGAGACCAAGACACCCTACACTGGAGGACTTTGATGGAGAGATTGCTGTATTCCAGGTAACAAGGATATTAATAATAATGATAATGATAATAATGATAATAATGATTAATAATAATGGTGATAATACCTGTATTAAAACTCGGGCATTTTAACACTTTCTCATTGACTGAATTGCTTTCCCTTTAACATATAATAATAATAAGAATAATTCTGTATAAATTGTCACTATTTTTCATATTTTTATATTCTACATATTGTCTCAGGGTGTGTTGGAGAGGTTATCTAGTAGTATTGACACTGTTGATGTTGGTTGGATCTGTGTTGATCAGCGTGCTGTGAAGAATGCACTGACTTCACTAGCTAAGAAATGGACCTACATCTATGCTAACTACCTTGAGAAAAAAGTAAATTTTACCATAATACTACATGTACATGTACATGTACATGCATCTTATAATACTGTACATTGTATTTGCCTTTTTCTCAATTTAAAATTTTATGAATTTTGTGTGCTTAACCATTAAATTTTTGCTTAGTTTACTTAGATTTTTACATTGCAGTACATGTGTACATTTACATTGTGTCTGTATTATTATTACTGCAGGTATTGCTTGTACTGAGAGAGCTGGAGGTGTTCTTTACTGAAATAGAGCCACAGGTCGAAGCAATCAGTGGAGACACTGTTGATCCTGATCATATCATGACACTAGTAACAATATTTAACAAAGTAAATAGAAAAGAATATTAATAATATAAAGTATCAATGTATTATTATTATTTATCATTGTATCAGGTTAATCTCCAGCAGTTAGTGATGGATGGTAAGTTTGGTGCAGTTCATAGAGCAGTCTCAATATTGGACAAGTTTCATCAGACACTCCCAGCTCAAACCAGAGACCACTTTGAAGGAATACCCCACAGGTAGACAAAGTCTACAGTAATCTTAACTACTATGCATTTACATGTAAATATACATACTATTGATTATAAAAATTTCATGTAAATGTATATATTGCATTTACTGTATAATTCACCATTAAATGTACATTAAGTTTACTAAAATTTACAAGTACATGTACTCCTTTTTCCTGTCATTAGGTGGTCCAGTCTTAAGAAGAGACTGGCTCTCAGTAAGCAGAGGATAGCTCCACTCATACAGTCACACAGTGCAGCCATTAAGAGAGACCTTGAAGTATTTGGATCAGAAGCAGAAAGAGAGCATCAGTCTTTCCTCAGTAGCCCCTGCCTCTCTCATAACTGTGACCCTCCTGTGGCCCAGGACCTCATTAAAGAATATGTACAGATATTACTGGGACTGAGGGCCCAGGCAAAGGACCTCATGGAGCTACAGGAGCTACTCCAGGCATCCGTTGTTAACTTTAGCATATTAAACCAGTGAGAGAGAGCTATAGTATTATTGTAATAGTATATGTACATGTACATGTAGTTTCTAGCATAGAATTACTTTAATTCTTAATCTTATTATCATTATTGATCATTGCATATTAAAACTTCATTATAGGATTATTATTGCATTTATAGTTGTAGTTTATCACTGTATATTTATTACTATATAATTCTCTGCTCTATTTGTCTTTAGGTTTGAGGATGAGCTAACAAACGCTAATCTCCTCTGGGAAAGACAACAGTAAGTGTCTTCTATTTTGACTAATTAAGAAGATGAATGCATGTATGCATGCTAGTCAAAAGCAGATGTCATACTGTTATGTTAATAATTTATTGGCCCTCTTTCTCTTTCTCTCTTAGCATGATTTCAGAGTATCATACTAACATTAAGACTCAGATCTGGCTCAATGTTGATTTCTCTGATATGAAGGACACCTGTCGTGAGCACACAGAGTTACTGATGTCACTTGGAGACTGCACTGGAGACTGGGATGCTAGAACACACTTTCAAGAAGCTGTTTATGAGATGCAAGTGAGTAGAAGGGGAGAGAGAGAATTTTTTAAGTTGCTCAAAAGTTGGGTCAGTACTGGGTCTTGGGCCAAATTTTTCGTAATAAAATCCATTTCTTCTCTCTCTCTCTCTCTTCTAATGGTAGCATACAGTACCACTGCTTGAGGGTCTCTCCAATAAACACATGAGGCCACGTCATTGGAAGCAAGTTCTCCGTTACTCCAACAATCACTCACTGATACTCTTACTGATGAAGAATGGGACACTGGACATGAATGTCCTGAGACACATGACTGTAGGACGATTCATGGAACTCAAACTATTGAGTAATTAATAATAAGAAATAATGAATAATAATGATAATAATATGTATGATAATAATTGCTACATGCATGATAGTAATTTTAACTCTTGGAAGTACATGTACATGTAAAAAGAACATGTACTTAGCACTCATTTTTTGCTTTTATTGATCTGTTCAATAGGTTACAGTGCTGATATATTGGGTATTGTTGATCGTGCTTCAAAAGAGGTTGCTATTGAAGAATTACTTAAAAACCTTGAGGAGGTGTGGCTTAGCATGCAGTTCCAATTAAAGCCCTTTTACAGGCTCCATGGACATGAACAGGTAAGGTATAATTTAATGCAAATCTATTTTTAATTTTTCATTTTTTTCTTTTCATGCAGGCTGCTTCTGATATTGGTGTTGAAGCTGGTCGTATTTCAGCTCTCTCTCATACCTCTCCTGTCGTTCGGAAGAGGAGCATATCTAGTGGGCGTGTCTCTATTATTAGTGCCACACCCACTGTCGCTGTTGAAAGGATGACTCATCATCATCATCAACATGAAGTCGTAATGCTATTGGATGATGTGGATAAGATATTTGAAGCTCTTGATCATTATCAAGTAAAAATTAAATATCATATCCATATTAGTTTACATGTATCAATTACCTCCAATTTCTGATACATATTGATATCCTTATGCTTTGTAAAAAGTTTGAGCTGATTTTTACAAGTATTTTCTGAGTTATTAGCATCTGAAAAACATGCCAAAATATCTATAAAATACATGTACATATGTGATACTTTTGAGACTAATGCTCTTATTTCTGACACATTTTAAAAATATAATTTATATGTACATTAAGATGATCCTATTTTTTAATTTTATTTTCATGTCAGACGTCATTAAAGAGCCTTGAAGGCAGTGTTGCTGCTACCTCATTCTCTGAAGAGCTCCAGCACTGGCACAAACAGCTTCAAACGGTAGAAGCAGTCCTCAGGGTGTGGCTACAAGTACAGACCCACTGGGTCCAGCTGGAGGAGGTTCTAACCAGCATTGAGGCAGCACAGCATCTTCCTTCAACTTATTTTAATTTCACAACCATCAATAAGGAATGGAAGCAGCTGTTGAAATCAACCGCTAAGTCGCCTAATGTTATACAGTGCTGCCTGCAAGAAGGTAAGTAGGATAGGATATATAATAATCATCATTTTATGTATTTTTATCATGATTATTTTCTTTATTATTATCCTCATTATTATTCTCTTATTTTTTTCCTTTCTTTGTCTCTTATAGATTTGTTGCAGATGTTAGAGAAGTTTCTGAACACATTGACCCAATGCCAGTCAGTGTTGCTCCAGTATGTACAGTGTAAATCCTCACGCTGTCCTTGGCTGTACTTCCTAACATTGGAAGATGTACTACAGCTAGTCTGCTACAGTAGGCACTGGATTTATTTATTTATTTATTTTTTACTACACACAAATGAATGAATACATGTATGTACATGTACATGTACATAAATTTCTAAAAATAAATGCATGGCATTATTATTATTAAGTACCCAATACTTTGTACAATCTATTCTTAGGCTCCAATCTTCCTGTATTATGTAAGGTTATTCCCAAGCTTTTCCTCCATTCAACTGGCCTCCTGTTCAGTAATGATATATCTCTCCTGCCCATCATTCGTAGCAGTTCGTTGCTGCCTCGTATAACCGGACTGACTGGATATGGACGAGAGAAATTAGAGCTAGCAGAAGTAATAATAATGATGATTCTTAAGCATGTACAATGTAGTTCAAAGACTTGGTATATTGCCAAAAATGACTAGGAGAGAATTTTCCATTTTTATAATTTTTTCTGATAGATATACATGTTTTTATGTTATCTGTCAAGTTTGAACTGATTTCAATCAAAAATAGATTTTTTATGAATTTTTAAAGTTACTCCAAAATTTGACAAAAGACCCAAGGCTATAGCCTTGGCCAAATTTTGCCAAAAATGACTAGGAGAGAATTCTTCATTTTTATAATTTTTTCTGATTGATATACATGTTTTTATGTTATTTGTCAAGTTTGAGCTGATTCTGATCAAAACTAGATTTGTTATGAATTTTTAAAGTTGCAAAATAATGAATTTTTAACAGTAATAGTAATATTGTATTATTAATGCTGTATTTTCCCCAGGGTGTTGATTGTGATGGTGCTATTGAGATTATACTCAATCACTTGCTCCACTCAGTGACAGAGACCCTGAATCAGCAGCTCATCACGACACTAACACAACAAAAATCAGCTCCTTCAACTCCGTCACAGTCCTCCACCACCCCATCCTTAATAAAGAGACTCTCGTCTGTCTGGCTAAGTTCTTCCAGTCATCAAATCCTCCAGCTAGCCACCATCATATTACTAGAAGAAAGGCTCCAGCAAGAGGTAGAGAACACTAAAGGAGGCTCATTAGATCCTAGTAGCTTCTTATCCGATATACAATCAGCCATACAGACCCTTGAGTCTATACATGAAGGGAAAGTAACACAAGAACATGATCCTAAATTAGGTTTCACCGACTCCAATAAAGGCATTGGACAACTAGCAAATAATTCTGCAGAGAATGAAGAGGAAGATGCAGGTTGGAGTGATACACAGTTAGACTTGAAGAGTGAGCCAGTAGCCATTGGCATACATAAAATCCTATATCATAACTTGATGCTGATTCTACTAACATACAGGCAAAGAGCTAAAGCTCTTTCTACTGAACCACATCCTTCATCATCGTTCCAATGGCTGTCCTCTCTTCATTATTCTCATGATGCTACTCAGCGTTCTTGTGTATTAAGTACTATTGGGGCATCTCTTAATTACGGTTTTCATTATAGTGGAGGGTATCCCATAGCTTTGACCACACCTACTGAGAGCATGGCCGTTCATATGGTGAAAGTGATGAGCCAGCAAGTTTGCGGTGTCATAACTAATGATACAAAAGTAAATAATAATAATAATAATAATAATAATAAACATTATTATTTATTTTTCTCTTCATTATAGTCTGATTCAGTTAGTACAGTGTCCATTGCTTGTGGGTATCCGTTATTTCCTTTGCAGTGCTCCAACACAACATCCAATGATACTTTGATGAACTGCTTTAAAGGAATAGCATCAACAGGTACAATAATATGGTATTGTAACATGTACATGTATGCATGTGATTATTATTGTTGTTCAAAAAAGCAACAACCAATGTGCATGAAAAGTAATGAGAACATTATAGTAAAAAAGAAAGCACAGGAGATTGAATCATACTTACTACCATAATTTTTTGTTATGTATTGTCCTTGTTGTTGTTATTATTATTATTTATTGTTCTTTTATTACACTATTAGGTTCATGGCTGTATCTCTCCAATCTCCATTCCCTCCCTGTGTCACTGATCCAGTTATCTGTTCAGCTTATGACTGCCATCAGAGAAGCCAAGATAAAGAGGAGTAGGATTGTCAAGTTCCCTGGGGAGAGCCTAAAGGCATATAAACTTGATACCAGCTTCTGTATTGCTAGCACAACCCTCTCTTCCACCTTCCCTTCTCTTCTCTCCTCATCAGTCTTCTCTGTTTTCAAGACCTATAGCATACAAGAGGCACCTCCTTCAGTGACATACGAAGCTCTTTTTATAAGCAATGGATTCGTTTCAGCCGTTTCCCCTCTCTCCCTTTTTCTCTCGCGCTACACGGCTGAAAACAACATCAATAAAACCGACGCCTGTGCTTTAATTTCTCTCTCCAGTCAACACATAAAGGATTATCATCATCATTACGGTGGTAGTCATTACCAGCAGTCATTTGAGCCATACTTGTCCCTCAGCCCGCCTCCACCCACCACTCTCTCTAGCAGTGTAGCCAGCTCTGTCATTCTCTCTCACCTCACTCAATCCTCTCACGATTCACTCGCTACCTCAAGACAAGGTGGCCCTGCTCTACCCGTCCTTGTCGAAGAAGATGAAGAAAATGAAGACGATGTTGATCTAAGAGAGGAAAGTAGCGATAGTCTATTGCAGAAGCTAGAGCTATTGTCTGTTCTTGTCTCAATATGGGAGCTACAGTTACCACTCCCTCCTGCTGCATTGCAGTCAATGCAGGAGTATTTCAGTGATATCAATGTATCTGAGGTATTGGAGGAGCTAGATAAGGGACAGGCTGAGATTGTTAGTGTGTATGCTTGGAGTCGGGAGGCAGTTGAATCAGCTCAGGAATCAAGAGCAGCTAGTGCCATGTTATCTACTAGAGGAAGAAATACAAGTAAATGTACATGTAGATACAATTACTATTACTGTACATGCATGTACACATTATGCTTAAAATAGCTTTAATTCCTTTTAATAAAAATATGCTATACATTTACATGTATGTATATTATTTTTTACATTGCCTCTCATACTTTCACTCTCTTTTTCTCTCTTTATTTTAGACTTGCACAATCTTGAGTCGGCCATACTCCAAGCCTGCCTTGTTAAAGGTCTCGTACCATCACAGCATTTACTGAAATCAGTCCACACGCTAGTTCAACTGATCCTGTTAAACAGAGTGGTTAGAGTCATTGGTAACTGGGAGGCAGGTAGAAGAGAGGTCATTGAATTAGCCATTGAAGTTATAAAGAGCACTGGGTATACACTGAGCAACACTTCACTGCCCACTGATGCTATATACACTGGGGGACTGCTGGGAGAGAAGTCAGTCTTCTATAGTACCATTAACACCTTAATAGTGCAATGTATTTATACATGTATAAACTATACCTTTTATTCATTGAATGAATGCATATATTGTACATGTACATGTTGATATAGTTTCTGATTGCTATAATACCTTTATGCATTCAATGAAGATCTTTTCAATATATTTTCATGTAGTACATGTACATGTACCTCTTTCTCAATAAAGATCTGTGCAATATGTCATTATTTCTTTTCTCCTCCACAGAGATGTACCAGGAGTGTTGCCTCAGTTATTGAACAGGCTCTCACCATCAAGCACTAACAGTATACAGTTGATCCTGCTAGAGGAAGGCTCAGGGCCTCTCTGTGAGACAGAGGAAGGGCTCAGCCCTTGCTTACAGTGGATATGCAATGAGAATGAGACATTACTCTACTTTACTAATAATGCATCTACTCTATTGGACCCTTCAGTCAAATTTATACTAACAGTAAGAAAATATCATTTTTAATGCATAATATTTTTGCATTAATAATAATGTATTTGCATATTAATTTCTTTTATTTGTACTTGTACATGTATTTTTATTTTTTAATTTTCTTTTTCTCTCTTTCCTCTGTTGCAGTGTCCCAGTACTGGAGATGTCAGTAGGTATCTACCAACCCTCTCCTTGACTCATGACTGCTGCATATCATGGGAGCACAGAGTAAAGACTTCATTCCTTCCGTTAGATAGAGACATACAGAAACACCTCACCCTGCTCTCTCAGCAGCACATTCCAGGACTAATAGACCTCATGTATAATAGCACCAGTGATAGTGACAGCACTGCTGTGTATAGTTATGTCTCATTAAGTGTTCACCAACTGGTTTCTTCATTGTGTAATGTATTGAAGGTAAGCCCCTATAATTATCACCAATAATTGCAGTATACATTATGAGCATGCTTCATATAATAATTTTAACTTTGAAAAAATTAATGATAAAATATAATTTATTTTTAGTGTCTTTTATCTGATGTCACAGCATCAGTTTCTTCTTCCTCTGTCGAAAGAGTCTTTGCATATGCCCTTATATGGACGTTTGGAAGTACCATGACGAGCGACGGCAGGAGAGTTTTTGAGGTTTGGCTGAGGGAGAGTTTCCCAGAGTCCCTCACTTCACTAGACGAAAGTCTCTGGCACTATAAACTGATACCAGCGTCTCTTAACTTTGACTTATGCAGAGCAGAGAGTACCAGTGGCTATGTGTACTGTCCTAAACGCAAGGCACTCTCTGAGTTCATCCAATTATTATACACTAAGAACATTCACCTGGTACTTGATGGAGTGTGTGGTAGTGGCAAGACTGCATTCCTTGTTGACACCATCACTGCATCAAAGAGAGGAGCCAGCACTAATAGCAGTAATGCTTCCGGCTCCAGTAGCAATAGCAACGACCCCATGTACTCCTTCATGCATACTCATGTCAATCAGCTATCAAGTCCGGCCACTTTTTGGTCTCAGCTCCAAGAGAATCTTGTTTGGCACTCGGGGAGGACTTACTTACCGCAAAGCAGCGATAAAGTAGTCATATTGGTGGATGACATTCACTTGAGCCAAGTAGAAACATTGATAATTTATTATTATTATTATTCTTTATTTTTATACTATAGGTATCTCATTCAGGCTCATTACTCTCACTAATAGTCAATCACATATCAACTGGTACCATATTGGCTCCTCCGTCATACAAAGAGCACAATGTTGGTGGCATTACTTACATACTCTCAACTGACAGCACTCAATGTGGGCTTGATCCTGAGACCATTAGTAATATATTGTATCTACACTGGGAGGAGTACAGGTAATAGATTACTTGTACACATATACATGTACATGTACATGTATGTAGTAGAATAATATTTATATTTTAAGGATTTTTTAAATTCTAATATTATAATTTTACTACCTTAAGTGAAAGTATAATAATTATTATTATTATTATTGTTATTGTTATTATTGTTATTATTATAGTGAGGAAGAGTTGGTGTTTATATACAGTGCACTACTGGGGAAATATTTCACTGGATTGTCCTACAGTCTACTAACACAGCTAGTAGAGACATCAGTTCAGATACACACTAAACTGCAGACTACATTCATTGATAATAAAGACAGGAAGCACTACACTTTTACCAGCACTGTACTGGATGCTACACTGAGGTAATGGAGAGAAGGAGGGAGAAAGAAAAATGGAGGAATCTTGCTTCTTTAATCTACCATTAATCTTTATTTATTTCTACATTGTTGAATGCATTCTTTGCAGGTCTTTAACTCTTCGTTGTGATAGAGACATATCTCCAATTGATCTCCTCCAGTGCTGGCTCAGTGAGAAGTATTGGCACTATGCAGCCCAGTTGACCACCACTGTGGATAGGGAGAGATACCAGGAGTGTGTAGACAATGCATTGAAGAAATACTTCAGTGAATCTCCATTGGTTAGTCAGCACAATATTGCTATGTATTGTATTTTTTATTTTTAGTTTATGCATGATAGATTTAGCTTAGCTATTACTATTATTATTATAATCATTTTCTTTCTTTTTTCTCTAGCTTCCTACATTATTGCAATACTCTCCTTTATCCTTTGGCATTGGTAAAAAACAAATGGAAGACAAGCTCATCTCATTGCAACAAGAGCTTGATGCGCTAAGCCCCACACCACCTCTCTCTCTCTACGATTTCACCCTCACCCTCTCCCTCCATCTCTCTCACCTCTTAGAAGAACAGAGGCCTCTATCATCTATACTGCTAATAGGAATGGGGCACATTGAGCACCTCTTGCTACTCATAACAGCATCACTTGGTTATTCACTGCAAAGACCTTCACAGATACAGATCAGTAACACAACTAGCACTGCTCCTACTGGAGCCACTCATGTTATAGGAGAAGAAGGGATCAGCATTAGTCCTAGTATATGCTTTCAGTCTGATGGTGACATAGGAGCATTCAGAGCTGCTTTAAAGAGCATTTATACTAATGCTGGAGTGAAGGTATGTTGTTCATTACTATTATAGGAATAAAATTATCAGCACCAATGTACATGTACATATACTATTATGACTATAAAGCAAAGAGATGCACCTTTATGAATGTACATCTTATTTTTTCTCCTCTCTCTCTCTCTCTCTCTCTCTTGACAGAATGAGCGTGTTGTGATCTTTCTTGATGACCAGGAGCTCCTCCATCCTTCTTGCATTTCTCTTGTGTACGAATTTGTCAAGGATTGCTCGATAAATATGGACTTCAATCCGGAGGAGAGATCACGCATTGTCAATTCATTGAGATCTGAAGTGACAAGGAATGGCTCTGAATACTCTGAACAGAAAGCATGGATCTTTTTTATAAAGTAAATTATAATGTATTGTACAATGTATGTATGTTATTATGCATTGATATATTACTGTTGTTTGTTGTTTGTTATTATTGTTATTGCTTTTACCAATAATCTTTATTTATTTCTTTTTGTCTACAGTCGACTGAAGACTAATGTGAGACTGGTTCTATCTCTCCCTGACTTGGAGCTAGCGAGTAACTGTGGACTCCTGGGAATGAAGAACCTATTGTCAGTCATTGAAGTGTGTTATGAACTACCTTGGGACAGAAAGAAATTACTACATGTGGCAAACTATCACTTGAAAAGTATGAGAGTGAGAGAATTAATTAGTACTATGTAATAATTTTAAAATGTACAAGCATTCATGAATATACTTTATTTCTTTTATTTCTGTAGATTGTGTTCTTCCCAAGACCTTGCAGGAGAGCACAGCTCACCTCTTGACTTCCCTTCACATGTTGCTAAGGAATACAACAGCAGACACTGATCCTGTTAGCTCATATTCATCCCATTATACTGCTAACCCCATCACTGTCTGCTGCTGCTGGAACAACAAGTTTGAGTTCTTCTCTGAAAGGTATTGCTTGCTTTTACTGTGCACATGTACAGTACATGTTCATGTTATTTGCTGTTGAAATTTTTGACATGGACTATAGATTCACTTTTTTAATGTTCAACGTGTTTCAAAAGGTTTTTTGAAGTAATAAAATGATATCGCAAAATTACGCAGGGTTTGTGTATGCAATACACTCTCCCTTCCAAAAATTGTATTGACTATATCACTATGTCTTCCTTGATTTGCAGATCTTTGACAGCCCTTTTTATAATGGCCCAACCTGACAATGCTCTAGTGGGTTGCTCTAATTATACAGTGGGCATTTCCTGTGGTTTGACACATGGTTAGACAAAGTACACTATAGGGAGCAAGTGTATTTCTCAACAATTATTATCTACCTATTAATTTTTAAATGAATTGGAGACTGGTGCAGGCAGAGTTTGTGCAAAGCACTCACTCCTTCATAAGTATATTGCCAAAATAATATGTTTACTCTATGCACGTGTATATGCATTCAGTGTATGTACATGATTTGCATGTATTTAGGTTTTGCCATGAGTTGGAGGAATGGTGGAGAAAGCTAAGCAGTGAGTGTCACAAACTGGACACAGCTATTGAAGCTTTTTCAAAAACTCAGAGGAAGCTCCTCTCATTAAAAGAAAGACTCATCAGAGAAGAGATAGTTTTAGAAGAAAAAGGAAAAGTGAGGCTCTTCTCTAATATAGTCATGCACATGTGTCTTATTCTTCTTCTTCTTGTCTGTAGAGTTATGCTCAGTTGCTGGTTCAGATAGGCCAAGACACAGCCATTGCTAAAGAGCAATTGAAACTGGTCTATAAGCAATCAGAGAGGATTGAACACCTGCAAAAGGTATAAATAGTACAAAAATACTTGAGATATTTCTCTCTCTCTCTCTCTCCTTTTTCAAAGGTTCTGCCAGAGTATGAGCATGTATATTCACTGTATGTTGAAGACTTGGAGCGAATTGAGCATGAAACGAAAGAAATTGCTCTCAATTTGGACCAGAAGAGCCTACTAGGTAATTCATAAGTTTAAATTCATGATGATTAGTGAGTAAACTTTTTATACTTTAGTGCTTCGCTCGCTTCACAAGCCTCCACTTGATATTCAAGAATTACTAGAGGCTGTCATTATTATCATAAAATCCCCTGGGTCTGACCTCTCCTGGACAAAAGGGGCCAAGAGGCTAATGGCTAACATTGATCGATTCAAAGAGATGATGATGGAGTTCTCACAGCACAGAGAAGCATCAGGCCCGCTGTTAGAGTCACTACAGTTGTATATTTCAAGACCAGGATTCAACGAGGAGACTTTTAGCAAGCTTTACTTAGCCGCTGGGCAACTTTGCTCTTGGGTCAAAGGAGTAGAGAAGTAAGATAAAATTAATAATAATTATTATGTTTATTTTATATGTATCATTATTCATTTATGCATCATTTATATATATATATATATATATAATTTACCTGTTATTTATGTAGTTCTTCTATATTGCTATTATCTACATGTACATTTCTTGATTATGTCTTTTCTTTTTGTCTCTTTCCTGCTTTAGTTTCCACAGGATGCTTCAGGACAACATTCGTAGACTTGAATACAGAAAGTCACAAGTGAAGGTATCACTCCAGGAGTATACTGAGAAACTAACTCAATTGAATCATAAAGTTCAAGTAAGAAGGAAAATCAAAAAAAAGAGAGATCAGTATTTTATTGGAATATATTTAATTTTTCTAATTTTTTATTTTTAGGTGCTTGATGAGAGGCTGGAAGGTTTGAGTAGCTCCTTAGAGCAGGCCTCCATTGAGAAGACTTATCAGAATGAGATTGTGATGGAAATGGGCAAAGAACTTGAAAAAACAACACAATTTATTGAGGTATGTAACACCAATGGGTGTCTTTATGTAGCCTAGCATCGTTTTAAGGAGGATGGGTTTAGAAAAGGTGTCATCAAAAAGAGTATTGGCCAAATTTTGTCAAAAATGGCTAGGAGAGAATTCTTCGTTTTTATAATTTTTCCTGATAGATATACATGCTTTTATGTTGTTTTTCAAGTTTGAGCTGATTTCGATCAAATTTAAATTTTTTATGAATTTTTAAAGTTGCTCAAAAATGAGGCCAAAGTCCCTGTACTATAGTACAGGGCGCAGGCCAAATTTTGCCAAAAATCACTTGGTGAGAATCTTCCATTTTAATAATTTTTTCTAATACATATACATGCACTTATGTTGTTTTTCAAGTTTGAGCTGATTCTGATCAAGTTTGGATTTTTTACAAATTTTTAAAAGTTGCTCAAAAATGAGGCCAAAGTCCCTGTACTATAGTACAGGGTCATTCGTCAAATTTCATCAAAAATGACTATGAGAGCATTCTCTACTTTATCATTTTTTCTGATGCATATACATGTTGTACATTTTATATCAAATTTGAGCTAGTTTATCTCTATTTTGTAGTCACTGTCTTCCCATTACAATGAATGGAACACAGTCCGTGATAATCTATCAGGAGCACTCACCAGTCAAATAGGCCAACTGGCCCTCACCACATGCTACACCTCATACCTTACATCACTGGACCCACAGCAAGCACTAAACATTGTCACTCATCACGTCAAACCCAGTATACTAGACAAAGGATTCACTCTATCTCCTCATGGTGGTATACCACCACTACAAGGGATTATAATGGGAGCAGGAGACTCTGGGTCAAGTAAAATTGAAGAACAACAGGAGAACACTTCGTCATCTACTGGAGGAGAAGAGAGAGAGGAAGAATCAACTCTTAAGTGTACTGGGTATCAATATCATGATCTCTTTAATGACGTACTCCTCATGTTAAATCCGATTCAATCTCTACAATCGTTACCGAGTCTTTCCCTCCTTCATCATTTGTATGCTGTACTGGTAGAGCATGCTTGGAATCGCTGGACACTTTTATATGACCCAGACAACATAGCCACATCACTACTGAGTGATAAATGGAGCATTCTGGATGGACAGGAATGGTATAAGAATATTTATAAGTGCTTTGATGCTTTTTCTTTTTTTTTCTCTGCAGGTCTGTACCTCTCTTTCACTCAATAGAGCAAGCACTAGTTGAGGGCCTTTGGATTGTTCTTAAGAATATTTCATTGCCATTTCATTCTTCGTTAATACCCATTCTAGAGTCAGGCCTGTACTGGCAAAAAACTGATAAAAGTAAGTTACTTCTCTAATATTAATGATGTCTTCACTTCATCTTTCTTTCTTCCATTTGTTGTGTATAGGAGATATCTCATTGGATTTCTGTGGTAGACGTATTCACGTAAACAAGTCATTCCGACTGATACTGACCCTCTCTTCTCTCCCTCCTCATCACTCCACTTCTCAAATCTTCTCTTGTCGCTTTAACTTCATCAACGCTTCTACCTCGTCCCTTCCCCTAGCACAAGAACTCACTCTACAAGAAGCTCAGAAAGATGCTAATTCTGATGTCTATTCTCTTGACTCGTACAACACTCTTATGTCTGCCATTGCTGAGAGCGATGAGAAGAGAAGGGAGCTTAGTGAGAGGCTCCTCAGGTGTCTGGGGAGTGTCACTGATGGTATTGTTAATTGTTATATTGTCAGTCAGGTTGAGGATGTCATGAAGAGCTATAAGGAGGTACACATTTACCACCAGTACACATGTACAGCACTTCAATAGTGGGTAGTTTTGGGCTAATTTTATGCAAATTGATCAAAAATAAAGTATAAAACAATCATAGCAGCTTTATATAAATTTTACAAGAAAAATTATAAACTCTACTGTGTATTCTTTGATTTTAAACATTATGAATCTATAATTGTGTTTATTTTAGTTGCAGGAGTCTTTTGGTTTTCATTGCCAGTCTGCAGAGACTTATTCTGTATCTCTAATGAACACTGCCAGCTCTGTTTGTCTCTTTTCTTCTTTGGTCTTCAGTTTCCTTCAATGGCTATCGAAGGCTACCCCTAACTTCCTCGTAACTTGGAGCAGATACCAATCGATATTCTGTCAAGCTTTGCTACAGTCAAACCTCATGAAGACTCAAGAGGTCAAAGGAGAAGCAGAGGAGAAAAGACAAGCATCAGCATCAACTCAGTTTAGGCAACTCCTCGTGAAATCTGTCCTCATCATACTATCAAGGTGAGAGGTTATAATTTACTGTTGATCAATCCTGAATGCCTTTTTCCTCATAGATGTTTTGATGATACTCAGTTATACCCATTAGCCTACTGCTTGTACATTCTATCATTCCTTGACTCTTATACTGATGTCAGTGTAGCTCAAGTCGAATATATTCTCCTTAGTGTGGGTCAAGAGAACTATTGGACTGATTTCCTTAACGAAAGCCCTCCATTTCAGCTCTCTCCTGTACCAGAAGGAATATCAGAGACTATCATGCTACAGCTTTACTCTCTTCCTCTCTTTCCATCATTTATGGAGTCAGTTCATCAGTCAATGGTTGAGCAACCTGATGAATGGAAGGCATTGATAAAGAACAGCTCAGTCCTTCCTCCCATCTCTTCCATACCAGTGCTAAGAGCTTCTTCTACTGAAAAGGAGTCAACCCTGTATACACTGAATGACTTGGTACTTATGAGTATTTTAACACCAGATGGAGTTTGTTCTTATATTGAAAATGAAATGAGTGGCCTAATGGACTCTTTACCTGTACCACTGCTGAGTGATGTACTAAAGAGTGAAGACAGCACTTCTATGGTGTTGCTCTATGATGAAAATAACTTGGTCTCACAGGCTAATGTAATCCTCCTCAATGAACACTTCAGAAAGGTAAATGAGTTTATGCTAAATAAAAATGTATATACTTCATTATTTATGATGGTCTTTATAGGGTCAAAGTGGAGTTGATGGTCAATCACTGCTGACAGTATCTGTTAGTTTAGAATCAGAGTCAAGCACCAGTTCCATTGACTGTGTCATACTCCAGGACATTCATCTACTAGGAATGGAAGCACTGGCTTTAAAACTACAAAAAGAAAGTAAAAAACAAAGTTAACTATTTTTAATTTTATTTCTTTTCTCAATAGCTCGAAGAGTCATAACGACCATGGATCACAGGTATAGCATGCCAGTACAGTTACTAGCTCAGTGTCAAGTTCTCTCTCTCTCTCGTGTTGCTCCCACGACTCAATTCCAAAAACAAAAATCACTCCTACCTCAGTTGAGCTCTCAGAGTAACGAAGTGCCCAAATACCTTTACACACTCCTTGCTGTAGTCTCCTGCATTCCACAGCATCTCTTGGAAGAACTGGATAAAGTAGTACCTCAAAAGAAGCGAAAGCTTGTCTTCCTATTGTGTGCTTTTCATACACACTGCTATTGCAGCTTCTTCCCTGCAGCACAGCTTCATAACCTGGTGTATGCACTGTCCCAGCTATCAAAGGATGAGTCTGATATTGATGTACTCTTGCAGTCAATGAGTGATCTTTTACTCAATCTTTATTTCAGTTCACCTTCAAGCAGTGA